TTGAATTATAAATAGAAAATGGATTTAGAGGACAAAGGTTATTTTATGAGCAAGCGATGATATTAAAGTGAGAATTAGAAGATGATGGTGAAATAAATTAAGAATTTACTGGAATAAATAATAAGACTATTTTAGATATGATATCATTTTGTATGAATTAAGGGAACCGTGGGCTATCCGAAACTTCAACTGTTATTGGACAGTAAGCCAACTGGAATATTCTAATTGAAACCAGACAAAAGTTAAAAACAGGATTTGGAGATATATAATCGAAAAGTTATTTATAAATGTTTTAAATGATTGAGTTATAACTAGCAACGTACTAATTTGAATTTGGTATAATGACTAAGGGAAACAGAAAGGAAAGTTTTGATGATGTAAACTGATATATGTATGGATAAGCGTGTTATTGGACTATGTATTACCCAACCACCATGTTGCTTCCTTAAATACCTGAAGGTTTGTAAAAATGGAAAATTAATAAAACTTGGGGTTTTTTTAAAAAAAGAGTTATTTATTTAGACAATTCATATAACTGCCCATTTTGCAGCAATGACTCTGATGGTCACAGAAGATTAACTCCCCCAAAAGCAACACTATATACAAAAGAAACAAAACAATGGAAAGAATAACATAACACCTTGGGTCTAAAAAGTAATCCCATTTTCAATCCATAACAAGAAAAATGGGTCCATTAGCTCCAGGTCCAAATGGCTGAGAGAACATCCAGGTCTTGCTCAAAGCCAGGAGGGTTGGGGCCATCCAGATCTCTGAGCAGATCGTCTGTCTGGTTCTGGCTCCATGAGAGAGAAGGCTTTCTTTTTCTTAAGTCCCACAAGATGCCAGTTGTTAAGGGACCTGAAGCAGGCTGACCCTGCTGGTTCTGATCGAGTGAGAGAGACCATCTGTCAGCAGTGGGCAGTTAGAAAATCGGCCACCAAGGAACCACCATTGGGTTAGACCACGGGTCGGCAACCTGCGGCTCTGGAGCCACATGTGGCTCTTTCAGCCTTCTACTGTGGCTCCCAGTCCTCCGCCATTTGCAGAGAGACAGAGAGGCACTTGCGCTTCCCTTCTCTCTCTCTCTCTCTCCGATCTTCTGCTCACTTGGCCAGCTGGCCTCACGCTGTTCTCCGACAAGCTGACAAGCTTATTGGGCGGGCTCCCTGCCCTTGCTGCATCTCCGCAGAAAGCAGCAGCTCTCTCTCTCTCTCTCTCTCTCTGAGAGAGAGAGAGAGAGAGAGACACACACACACACACACACACACACACACACACACACACACACTTTTACTTAGTGGGGAAGAGGACTGGCAGACCAAAGGCAGGAGAGAGCCAGCCCAATAAGAATGTGTGTCAGCTTGTCGGAGAACAGCGTGAGGCCAGCTGGCCAGGTGAGCAGAAGATCAGAGAGAGGGAGAGGGGGGAGAGGAGAGAGAGGGAGAGGAAAGAGAGAGAAAGAGAGAGGGATGGAGAGAAAGAGAGGGAGAGGAAAGAGGGAGGGAAAGAGAAAGGGAGAGAGAAAGAGAGAGAGGGAGAGGGAGAGGAAAGAGAGTGTGAGAGAGAAAATATAAATATATGTTGTCCTTACTGGACTTTTAGTAAAGAACATTTAATGAAATATTTTGATTTTTTTAAATTAAGAGATGAGGTATGGGGATAATTATGCTGTATTTAAAGATGGTAGATAAGCTACTAAAATTGTTTTCACCTGTTGGGATGAAGGAGAAAGGTTTTTCCCCCCCTCTTTCTCCGGCATAAAAATTTGTTTTCTTTGTAGCAGTTCATTGATTTCATAAATGCAACACACTATAGTTTTTTTATACATAGCATAAGGGTAAAAAAAAAGGATATATGCAGTGTTATCTTCATTTTAGATGTCAAAAGGGTTTTGTGGCTCCCAATGTTTTTTTTTTTTTTTCTGTGAGAAACGGGTCCAAGTGGCTCTTTGAGTGTTTAAGGCTGCTGACCCCTGGGTTAGACTGATCCTTTCTCACCAGTTTGATCTCAAAGCTGAAATTAATCCGGGAGAACTGCCTGACAGCCATGGCTCCTCTCTCCATCCCAACTCCCCTCCTTCTCCCCTCAGCCGCCCTGAGTCCTCCGGGAGAAGGGCGGGGTATAAATTTAATAAAATAAAATAAAAATAAAATAAATAGGAAGCGCCCTTTCTTTAGGCTCAGGTTGTTGGAGAGGATGGGAATCCTCCCATCAGAAGCATGGAAGGGTTATGGGCTGCTATTTCTAATATTACTTCAAGAAGGACAAGAAGCCAAAAGGTTATCCGCTGGCATGTTTTTGGCCCCATCTTGCCAAAAAATGGTGCTATCATGCTTTTGACTCCTACAACTCTGCAGGAAATTTTGGGTGCAGAAGCTGCAAACATTCTTCATGCATTCTAGTGAAGCATGAGAGTGAAAAGCAAAGTACCTCCTTCTCAGTGGTTTGATCCATGTCAAGCCCTCTTATGAAAAGAAGAGTCTACAAGGGTTCTAGCAGCACAGAGAGTCTGAGGAAGTAAACAAGAGTAAAAAGCTGGCCCAACCCAGTTCTCCCTGCATTGTCATTGGCATTGCCGGCCTCTCCTTGTGCTATGATCAGACTTATTAAACTTGGAGGATGGCCCAGTCTTCTCCTGAACCTTGGAAAAACCATCGGTTGTCTGAAGGTTCAGAAAATAAGATGAAAAAACCTCCACCTTCTAGTTGGGCTCCCTGGAGAGCTGCTGCTCTCTCTTGTGTCAAGCAGAGCAAGCAAAAGGAGGAGGCAGAAGCTTGTTGGCGACAGTCTGAGGATGAGTTGGGTGGCTGTTGTCTGATTAAGAGCACTAATGTGGCTTTTGGCTTCCGCATGTCTTCTCTCTGACCTGGCTAATTTTAGAGTTGTTGTTGTTCCTCTTCAGAGCAGCTCATCTGGGCCTCTCCAGCTCCTCCTGGACACACCCTTGTCCAGTTCCTAGATGCTTTCTGCTGAAGACACTGCAAATTAGATTCTATTTAAGCTCAGAAAAGCCATCTTTGTACGCCAGAGAATATGGCAATTGGCCATGGGAAGAGACTTGGTGTGGCGAAAGAACTGACATGAAGCTGGGACTGGGTGGGGGTGGAGATGAATGAACATCCAGACCTCGAGCCCTTGTTTTCTTGGAAATTGTGTCTTTGTGTTGCCAGTCCCTGAATCACAGCTCCACCTACCTCAAAATGTAGATGTATGGTTAAAATAAGGAAGGGGTGAGGAGGGTGGAAAGAGTAAATGATACACAGATAGTGTCATTCACACTGCGCTTTATTTCCTCCCTTAAGTCCTTCTTTTTCCTAATATGTTCTTGATCCTTGCCCTTAATACTTCTCCTGGCTATGAAGGATCTTGCTCAAGGTCCTTTTATTTCTCCTTTCTCATGGATCCTTCACTCACCTGACTGCAAATAGTCAGAGGTTTATTGGACTAGAGAACATCCGATTCCTCACTGGTTCCAGTGTAGGGCCTGGTTTATCTGCAGCTCATCCCTCTGGCCCTCTGATTCTTCATAGTTTGGTTGCCTTCAAAAGAGGCTGAAGAGCATAAACTACTTTTCTTCGGATTCTGCCCCATGTGCCCAGCATGGCAATCAAAATTAGAGTTTTTTTCCTGAGGATTTTGCTGCCTGCCCTTGAAGTCAGTACATATGCCACCATATGAGACCCTGGAAAGTGTTCAGAGAAGAGCAGCAAAGATTATAAAGGTCCCTTCCAGCTCTATGACTCGATATTCTTATGTGTACCGCTTTGAGTTGTTTATATAAAATAATAAAGGTCTGATATAAATAAAATAAATACTAATAAATAATAAGAAAATGGCTTGAAAATCTGATCACCGAACATGAACATGAAGAGGGAAGGTTAAAGGTTAGTGATAAAGCCATACTGAAAAAAATGTGGTTTCAAATAGAAGTATAATTTATATACAACTATCTGTACCCGGCCACGCGTTGCTGTGGCTCAGTCTGGTTAGCGTGTGTTGCTTTTACGTCCAACAGATGGCCCTGTTTTTCAAAAAAAGCATGTTTTTACCTGTCACAGGTGTGACATCTATATAATAGTAGGTATATAAAAACATGCACGTATTTGAATGCAACGTTGTGTCAAAATTTCAAAGCAATCGGTGAAGAACTTTCGGAGATTTAAGATTTTGAACAAACGAACATTTACATTTTTATTTATATAGATAAAAACCAATAAGGTGCAATATCTCCAGTTAAGATATCCAAGGTGGAAAAAGACCGGCTCTCTGAGGGCTCAGCAGCTGGCTTTGCTGGAGAACAGTTTTGCAAATCCATGCAGTCATCAGATGAAGAAAAAAAATTCAGAACAGTCCTGCCGATGTTTTCTTTCTTTCTTTCTTTCTTTCTTTCTTTCTTTCTTTCTTTCTTTCTTTCTTTCTTTCCTTCCTTCCTTCCTTCCTTCCTTCCTTCCTTCCTTCCTTCCTTCCTTCCTTCCTTCCTTCCTCAAAGTCCTCTACATGTTTATTTTAAAACTGGTGAAGGCAGTTTAATAGCCATGGAGAGCAGTGTGTTGGTAAACATTTACTGTGGTGCCTCCCTCTGATTCCGGGTTACGTTACAGATTTTTTTCATTAAAAAAATATTGAGAAGCTGCCATGCTGTAAAATAGAGTGCCAGCTTTCAACATAAGATTTATTTCCAAGAATGTCTGTTGGCCCCAAAGGCATTTTTGGCAGACAGCAATCAGGAGTTGCATCCAGGGCTTTCTGTGGAAGTTGCAGAGCCCAGCCGGGGTCGTGGGTGGGGCTGGGAACAAAGGGGGAGGAGCCAAGATGATGCAGGCAAGCCAGCTGCAGGGGGCAGTTGCCTTTTTGTAAATGGGGTGTTTGGGGGAACGGAGGGTGCTGACCGTTGCATTCAAAACTCCTCGGGGGCCAAAGTTCAAAATCAGTGTTCTGCTTCAGCTATGAGGTCTCTCTTCTTATATACTCATGTTTGAAACTCTCCTGTTTAAACTTTCTCAGATTATTCCTTGGCTGTCCAGAAATTCTCCCTGACACTCCAGTCCTTTCAGTTTGACTTCATAGGGGACACGCTGACTGATGATGAAATCAACATTGGTAAGTGCTTTTCTGGCCAGCTGCCTTTCTTCCTTGTCAGGGTTGGGTGCTAGAAGTCCATTTAATGTCCTGCTTGAGTAATACAATTCTTGGTTGTAATTCAGTTTAGAATATCTTGCATAAAACCTATCCAGCATACTTAACTGCCTCTCCATAACTGCCATGTTAGCCCTCTTGTAATGGGCAGCTCAGTACTTGAAACAGTAAAAAAACACCTCAGATCCAGAGCAGGAGCCGTGTATTAGGTCAGCCGAAGTCTCATTGAAAAGTGCAAGTTGTGAAGTTTAAAAATTCAAATTATGTCTGGCCTTGTTGATATACGCGGGAGGGTCCCATTCCTGGAAATACACATTCCAGATATTGCTGGGTTCCCCATGCTGCTGTGCAATACATGGATCCCTTGGGCAGGGCAGAACAAGACATAATGTCTTGTACATAACGTCTTGTTTTCCCCGGCCAAGGGATCCATGTATTGCACAGCAGCATGGGGAACCCAGCAATATCTGGAATGTGTATTTCCAGGAATGGGACCCTCCTGCATTCGGTTTCTTCTTTCCAGCATGACTTGGGAGGCCCTTCACCCGTTGCAACTTTCTTCTCTTGAAAAAAGTGTGTTCATGCTCCCATTCCTCTTTTTTAGAAAAAGCAGCTGTATGATTTTCTGTCCTGATCAGAAGTTGGGCTTCTACTTATTTCCATGGCAAGAAAATAATCTGGAGTACCTCTTTTAAGAATGCTTTTCTAAAGAGTGTGTTCACTATTTGCATTTCTTAGCCGATAAACAGCCCAGCTGTATGACCTGAATCAGTGATTGTACCTTGCCTCTTGATATTTGAGATGGATGCATTGATAGATGGAAGCAAACGTTAGATCAGTTCTTTTATTGCAGTATATAGAAATTATTTGTAAAACCGTATAGAATTTATATTTTGGGGAAGACGGTGTGAGCAGCCAGGGCAGCCGCAAAGTGAAGACCTTGAGTGTCAGAAAGCAGCAGGGCCCGGGCTGCCCTCCAGCCGTCTCGGATGAGCGTTGGACACCCCGAGGATAAGACAGAAAAACCGAAGGAGGGGAAAATTTGGATAAATTTTCAGCATAAATATCAAACAGATGATTCCATATTATCCTATAGGTATAATGGTTATGAGAAAAGGGAAGAACTCACGAGCGTTATACTGGGGCAGGAAAGATCAATCCTCTTGTGCACTTTTGAATTAAAGCAAAAAGCAGAGGCAAAAGTTGTATGTGGTTTGATTTGAGGCAGTTATGAAATTAGCATGTGGAAATGCTTCAGCTGTTTTGGACATGGAAGACTTGGGGCACCCCTCATTTGCTCAGAAGATTTCTTGGAGAGATTCTCCTGGTTACCGCCTAATAATCTCTTCTGACACATTGATATGATGATCCACCAAGAAAGCTACACATTCAGGGTATTAACCCACTATGAGGATGCTAAAGGCAAGATGGGGGAAATAGGAAGTACTTTATATTCCCATCTCTTAGAGCAGACATGTCAAACACAAGGCCCGGAGGCCAGATGCGGCCCGCGAAGTGGTTTCATGTGGCCCGCGAAGCCATCCTGGAAACAGTGAGGGAACGGGCCCTGCTGTCTTGGCCCTGGCCCAGGCCAGCTAGCAGCCAATGTACAATTTTGTGGTGGCCATCTTGGACTTGCCCTGGTGGACCATGCCTTGGCACTTGCCCCGGTCCCACCCCCTTCTGCCAGAGACCCTCAGATTTGCCCCACTCCTGCCCGGGCCCCCAGAGGCACCCTTGATGCGAATGATGTAGAACTGGCCACGCCCACCCAGTAGGCCACACCCACTCTATCCATGCCCACCCAGTAGGCTGTACCCACTCTGGCCACGCCCCCCCGGCCCCCCCAGGGCAACCGCAATGCTGATGCAGCCCTCAGTAAAATTGAGTTTGACACTCCTGTCTTAGAGTCAGTCTTTGTTTGCATCCCACCTTTATTAGTTTTACAAATAACTCAAGGCTACAGACATATCCCATAACCGTCCTCCTCTTCTTATTTTTCCCACAGCAACAATCCTGTGAGGTGGGTTGGGCTGAGAGAGTGACTGGCCCAAAGGCACCCAGCTGGCTTTCATAGCTAAGGCGGGACTTGAACGCACAGCCTCCTGCTTTCTAGTCTGGCGCTTAACCATTATACCAAATGGCCACTCTGTTAATCTCTCAATTCATTAATTCCTCAGTTAATGTTTTCTCATTATTTTCTCTCCTTTTCAGCTGAGTCCTTTAAGGAATTTGCTGAGTTGCTCCAAGAGGTGGAACTTGAGCGGTCCATGATGGTAATAAGGACGTTTCCCTTTCCTCCTTAGTCTGGGGTGGGCTGAGGATTCAGTAGGGCGGGATGGAGCCCCATCATTGCATGACCCAAAGCATGGCTGGCTTGGGCCCAGCAAGTTGGGAGCTGTCAATCTTGGCTTATGATTTAATCTACTCTGAACCTATGCAGTTTTGGTTTATTTGACCAACTAAAACCATAACTTAGTAGTTATAACTTAATAGTTAACTTAATTGTTAAAACTAGAAACAAAAATTAAAATAAGCAAGAAAATGGTAAGAGAACAACTATCCGACCTTGATGAATATAAATCACTGGGGCATGACAGATTACATCCCAGAATTCTGAAGAAGCTGGCAGGTGTTATCTCAGAACCATTGCACCATATCTTTCATAAATCCTGGAGCACCAGGGAAGTACCTGAGAATTGGAAAAGGGCTGATGTGGTTTCCATCTTCATGAAAGGGGGGGGAAAAGACCCAGGAAATTACAGACCAATCAGTTTAACATCAATACCTGGGAAGATCATAGAAAAGATAATAAAAAAACAGATCTGCAAACAACTAGAAAGTTATAACAAAGTTATAACTAGTAGCCAGCACGGGTTTGTTAAAAACAGATCATGCCAAACCAATCTTATTTCATTTTTTGATAAAGTGACTAAATTAGTAGACCAGCAAAATGCTGTGGATATAGTATACTTAGACTTCAGTAAGGCATTCAACAAAGTAGACTGCAGCCTGCTGCTTAGTAAGCTAGAAAAAGGTGGGATAGACAACATCACCACCACATGGATCTGTAGCAGGCTGGCAAACTGTACTCAACAAGTAGTCCTCAATGGTACTACATCCACGTGGAGAGAAGTAAGCAGTGGGGTGGGTATCACAAGGCTCCGTCTTAGGCCCAGTACTCTTCAATATCTTCATAAATGACCTAGGTGGGGGAATAGAAGGGGAACTCAAATTTGCAGATGACATTAAACTAGGCCCTATCCAACAAAATGAGTTTTAATGTGGAGAAAAGTAAAGTTTTATATTTAGGCAGGAACAATCTGTATAACTACAGATTAGGTGAGACCTGGCTCAAAAACAGCAACTGTGAGAGGGACCTTGGAGTCCTAGTGGATGACCACTAGGTCAGATGACACCAAGCTGGCAGGAATAGCCAACACTCCAGAAGACAGGCTTAAGATACAGAAGGATCTGGACAGACTTGAACACTGAGCGCTATCTAACAAAATGAAATTCAATGGTGAAAAAAGCAAGGTTCTACATTTAGGCAAGAAAAACCAAATGCACAGGTATAGTATAGGGAGTACGTTGCTCAATAGTAGTAACTGTGAGAGGGACTTCGGAGTCCTAGTGGACAATCACTTAAATATGAGCCAGCAGTGTGCTGCAGCTGCCAAAAAGGCCAACACAGTGCTAGGCTGCATTAACAGAGGGATAGAATCAAGATCACGTGAAGTATTAATACCACTTTACAATGCCTTGGTAAGGCCACACTTGTAATACTGCATCCAGTTTTGGTCACCACGATGTAAAAAAGATGTTGAGACTCTAGAAAGAATATAGAGAAGAGCAACAAAGATGATTAGGGGACTGGAGGCTAAAGCATATAAGGAACGGTTGCTGGAATTGGGTACAGTATGTCTAGTTTAATACAGAGAAGGACGAGGGGGGACATGATAGCAGTGTTCCAATATCTCAGGGGCTGCCACAAAGAAGAGGGAGTCAAGCTATTCTCCAAGGCTCCTGAAGGCAGGACAAGAAGCAACGGGTGGAAACTAAGCAAGGAGAGAAGCAACCTAGAACTAAGGAGAAACTTCCTGACAGTTAGAACAATTAACCAGTGGAACAACCTGCCTCCTGAAGTGGTGAATGCTCCAACACTGGACGTTTTAAAGAAGAGACTGGACAGCCATTTGTCCGAAATGGTATAGGTTCTCCTGCCTGAGCAGGGGGCTGGACTAGATGATCTCCAAGGTCCCTTCCAGCATTCTATTCTATTCTGTTCTGTTCTATTTTCATGATCCATGTTTGCTGTCTAAACCCAGCCAAATTAAGATTAGCAATAGCTAGAATAATGCAACTTCTAACCTACTGCCCTTGCAGAATTCCCTGCCAGAAAGGAGTCAGTACAGATCTACCCCATTTTAACAAGCTACCTTCTTTCTGTAAGTTTTCTGGGATTCTGTGTATTTCACTTCTAATTATTGGATTCCTTAATTAAAACATCTTAGTTACTGTGGGTATTTCTTGAGGAGTTTTTAAATCAAACAGTTGCATTTCTGGTGCACGCTAAATATGCCCATTTCCCTTACAAAGCTGTATGTCCCTTTTCTTTCAGGTTTTTCCACTCTTCTTTCACTTCAATTCAATTCAGGGCACAACACTTTGAAAAAACTCCCTTCCAGGGAACCTGATCAGTCCAGGATCTTGCAGGTTCTCAGGAGAGGTTTGATAAGTTGTAGAACTCTTGGCAACTGATGTTTCCAAACTGTTGAAGCAGGGAGGTTTCCTGAAAGCACACATTACATTACACAAACCCTATTGCACCATATCATGATTTCTGTTATGCTTTTCCACGCTTAGCTTTTAATTATGGTTTCTTGAAAAGGCCAATGTGACTGGTCTCACATTACACACTAATCCAGAAGAAGACTTAGTTTTATGTGAGAACCTGGCCAAACTGTGCTCATGTGAACTCATGTCAGGGCCCTAAGGTCCTTCTTCCTTAGTTCTGCAGACTCTCAAATGAGTTACTACAAAATTAGTTCTGGAGCACAGTTGAAGACCAAATCATGCAGATTTAAAGGGTTCAGTGTTGCCTATTTATTATTTCGCTACATTTTCCCCACAGGTGCAAAATGCCAGTAATTTGTTGATCAAGCCTCTGGAAAAATTTCGTAAGGAGCAAATTGGATTCACCAAAGTAAGTTTTGGGTCTTTTGCCCCCATTTTATTTGTAACATAACTGTATTAAGATGGGGCTGATGTGATTCTTTTGTGTGATTCTCAATACTCATTCAAAATATGTCTAGCCAGTTCCTAAAAAGAAATAAATTGCAGAGTAGTGTCTTGGATAGCTACATTTATTAATAGTTACGGTATGTATTTTTATAATTTTAAAAATTATGATGATGTTATAACTTTGCTCTTTCTATATTGTGAGCCATATGCAGGTCCTGTGTGAAGACTGAATATTGTAAAAATAGCTGAATAAATGCTAATATCTTTGCATTTACCTTCTGGGAAGTCACAGAACTAACCTTCACATTTGGTTATTTGTTAAATGCCACTTTTTACTTTGTTGAGAGTGAGTTTCTCATTTTAAGGAGCTCCTTGGAGGTGAGGGATCTTTTCCACTTCCAGCCTCTCCCGTTTGGGCCAGCTTGACCCACGGACACTTGCAGAGGCGGATCCCCTTCCTAGAACCCAGACAAGCAGCTCAGCTTTGCTGGATTTCGGGGTGAGAAAGAAGTACGAAGGCCTCCTTCTCTCTCTTGGGGTACCGTATTGTTTATTCCTTTTTAGTTTGGGGGCCACTGCAGAGTGGCATGGCATGACTCCTGCAGTGTCTAGAAAAACGGGAGAGATGGTGATGGAAAGGGGCAGCAGCAGTCTGTAAATAGGCGGACGGGGGAGATGACTGGAAAGGGGGGAATGAAGCAAAACTTAGTTCCAAGAATTTGAGCAATGCAGTCCAGAAGATTCCTTTTTTTTTTTTACCAGAATTAAACATGGCCATAAATAAGATCTTTTTGTGAACATTTTACAAACGACATTTTAAAAATTATTGATAGTTCCATTCTTGGCGCAGCAAAATGCTTTCCAAAGCTCCATAATAATTAATTGACCTGGATGTGGTGGAGCTCCTAGTGGTTTCTCAAAGTTTCTCCCTCCTTCATTGCTACTCAGAACACTGCTCGATTTTGGAAGAAAATAAATGTGGGAACAGTCTGGCCAAAGAATGGCTTTGAGGGGGTGTTCCATTTAAAATGAATTCTACATCTCTCTCCCTGAAGAATATCTGTTTGGGTTAAATCAAACCCAAACATACTTTTTACTAAAAATAATTGTGATTGAATTTCCCCAGTGTGTAAAAAAATTGTGTTGGAGGTAAGTAAAATAACCTTCCTAGTTAATGATTCCTCTGGCTGACCCCGGCACATGCTGCGTGCCCCCTTTTCTGAACCGAATTCTCCCTCCTTTATGGTACCGGGTCCATTCCTTTGGGGGTTTTTTTTTGGGGGGGGAGATTTTCTATATAAGGCCCCCTTTTTAGTAGGACAGTCCTTGGCATTGAAGGCAGCCTGCTTCTCTTGTGGTCCAACGCTTGGGGAGGGGGGTGGTTAGCTCAGCAGTTTCCTGTGGTCAGCTGGCGTGGGTGATTCAGGAATGCTGCATTTTTAAAAAGAGGATCTGATTTGCAGAATTTATCTATTTAATCATATGGCATAGGTTAAAATCCCCAGGTTAAGAATGTCAGACTTAAGAACAACCTCTAGATGCAAATGGCATTTTCCTTCCTTCACCCAACAAACTGCTGAAAAATGCTTTCAGACGTGCATTTTTAATATTCAGCTGGTTTTCATCAGTTTCGTTCAAGGAAAGGCAACACAGAGCAATAGGCAGCCCACTTACAAATACAAGTTCCACCTAAAGTCCAAATTCGGGCTAAAGGCAGAGTTAGGAATGGAACTCATCCTGAAGCAAAGACCGGCCTCTACGCCCTTCCACCACCAGCCCCGGAGGTTTGGCTCGTGGTCGAAAGGTCGAGAAAGAGTGAAGAACATCTGTGTTTGTTCCCTTCTAAACTTGTGAATCAGCGTCATGGGTATCGTTATAGTGTTCTTCCTATAGGGACTCCTGATAGTTATTCAAAAAATGTGAAGAAGTCTGGTAGCATCTTTTCTGACTAACAAAAGTCATACGCTTTTGTGAGCAATAGCTCATGTCATCAGAGGTATCGTTGGCAATATTGTTTTAAATTCAGTGTCCGTCTGAGGAAATGCACTCACAAAAGCTTTTAATGAAACATTTTGGCATGAACAGATGAACATATTACACATATTTGCTATGTGATTATGGCAAGCATAACCTGTAGCAGAAAAAGTATTTTATTTCAAGGAGTGATGAGAAACCTCTGGGACGTTTTGGGACACCGACAGCGTTTTAATCACGAGAGTTATGTGTGATAATGACACTCATTTTTCTTTGGAAAAACTTTTACTATGAAAATTGGTGGTAAATTGCTAAGTTTGTACCAAAGCTGAGATCATGACTTTACATCAGCTGTGTCTATGCCTTTTTATTTGATGGAATCCATGTCAGAATTAAAACATGTACAGTGAGGGAAAAATTATTTGATCCCTGCTGATTTTGTACGTTTACCCACTGACAAAGAAATGATTAGTCTATAATTTTAATGGTAGGTTTATTGTAACAGAGAGAGACAGAATAACAACAAAAATATCCAGAAAAATGCATTTCAAAAAAGTTATCAATTGATTTGCATTTTAATGAGTGAAAGAAGTATTTGACCCCTTTGCAAAACATGACTTAGTACTTGGTGGCAAAACGCTTGTTGGCAATCACAGAGGTCAGACGTTGCTTGTAGTTGGCCACCAGGTTTGCACACATCTCAGGATGATTTTGTCCCACTCCTCTTTGCAGATCCTCTCCAAGTCATGAAGGTTTCGAGGCTGACGTTTGGCAGCTCGAACCTGCAGCTCCCTCCACAGATTTTCTATGGGATTAAGGTCTGGAGATTAGCTAGGCCACTCCAGGACCTTAATGTGCTTCTTCTTGAGCCACTCCTTTGTTGCCTTGGCCGTGTGTTGTGGGTCATTGTCATGCTGGAATACCCATCCATGACCTATTTTCAATGCCCTGGCTGAGGGAAGGAGGTTCTCACCCAAGATTTGACGGTACATGGTCCCGTCCATTGTCCCATTGATATGGTGAGGTTGTCCTGTCCCCTTAGCAGAAAAACATCCTCAAAGCATAATGTTTCCACTTCCATGTTTGATGGTGAGGATGATGTTCTTGGGGTCACAGGCAGCATTCCTCCTCCTCCTAACACGGCGAGTTGAGTTGATGCCAAAGAGCTCGATTTTGATCTCATCTGACCACAACACTTTCACCCAGTTCTTCTCTGAATCATTCAGATGTTCACTGGCAAACTTCAGATGGGCCTGTACATGTGCTTTCTTGAGCAGAGGGACCTTGCAGGTGCTGCAGGATTTCAGTCCTTCACGGCGTAGTGTGTTACAGTTGTTTTCTTGGTGACTATGGTCCCAGCTGCCTTGAGACCATTGACAAGCTACTCCTGTGTAGTTTTGGGCTGATTCCTCATCATTCTCATGATCATTGAAACTCCACGAGGTGAGATCTTGCATGGAGCCCCAGACTGAGGGAGATTGACAGTTATTTTGTGTTTCTTCCATTTGCGAATAATCGCACCAACTGTTCTCACCTTCTCACCAAGCTGCTTGGCAATAGTCTTGTAGCCCATTCCAGTCTTGTGTAGGTCTACAGTCTTGTCCCTGACATCCTTGGTCTCGGCCATGGTGGAGAGTTTGGAATCTAATTGATTGATTGCTTCTGTGGACAGGTGTCTTTTATACAGGTAACAAACTGAGATTAGGAGCACTCCCTTTAAGAGGGTGCCCCTAATCTCAGCTCATTACCTGTATAAAAGACACTTGGGAGCTAGAAATTTTGCTGATTGATAGGGGATCAAATACTTATTTCATTCATTAAAATGCAAATCAATTAATAACTTTTTTGAAATGCGTTTTTTCTGGATTTTTTTGTTGTTATTCTGTCAGTGGGCAAACATACAAAACCAGCAGGGGATCAAATAATTTTTTTCCTCACTGTAATGTATTTTTATTAAAATCTCAAAAATAGTTTTCAAGAGGATATTTCTGGAATATTTCAAGCATGGACTAAAGAAATAAATTCTGAAAAGTTCCATCAGTGGATTTATGACCTTAAAAATGGTAAAATGGTGTCTACAGATTTAAGATTCCGGTTGATTCATCAAAAAACTATATTTAGGGTGGATTGGAGTCCATGAAGAATGTATTTGAAAGGATGGATATCAGATTTTCTATGCTGGAGATATAAAAAATGGCAGGTTCCTTGACCCACATGAATATGGTTGTATGATCAGTTGGCATCTTTTTGGGATAGCATATTCATGTATAGAAGCAGATTTGTAGGAAAATCTTTATGTTAACATAATGTTATATACCAAAGCTTTGGAATTTGATTGTTTATCAGGACTTACGATTGTATTGAGCATAGGGATGGCAAGAGGGATCATATTGAGAAATTGGTAATGTGATATTCCAGATGTCACGGAATGGTTATTGGAAATGTGTAATGGATCTGTTGTCAACGCTGCTAACATGGGATGTTCTTGCTTTGACAACAGATGGAAATGTAGCCATCTTTTCTCTTTTGCTTTTAGAGTTAGATGATGCTGGGAGGGGGGATGTGGATGAGAGTCCGGTTAGTCATAACAATAATAACTCAGCTGTGGGAATCAAGGTTCGAATAAAAGATTCTTTAAGGTAAACAATGCCTCGAAGTTCTTTTGAAGAGTTTCATCTGTCAGAACCATGACATCTGTTTTGGAAAAGGCAGTATTTTCTACAGTTATATTATTTGTTACTATGGCAGAAATGTAATGAAATCTTAGAATAATATTCTGTTCGTTCACAGTAGTGAATTCATTAGTAAATGTTGTTTACCAGTCTTCTGCTTCCTATGCCACAACTGTAACCACTACACCAAACTGGGTCTCATATCATAATCTGTAAAGTCTATAAACTATAGTTTTAATAATAAAAGAAAGTACAATTCATACAGTAAAGTCTAAGGGTTTAAGAGTTTGTTTGTGGTTAATAATCTGTATAATTTTGTTGTTAATCTGCTATTCTATCATTTTAATTCTTATTCCTGGACTGAATGCAATTTAACGTTTTGCACTGGGTCTGTGTTAAAGATAAATTGTTTTTTGGCACAGCAGAATAAACAAAGGTGAGATACAGAAGATGGGCATTCAGCTCCGACGTGATCATGAACATTCTGGGCAAATCCTAGGAAAAATTAATCTGAGAATCCTCCACTCACAGCGCTCATTAGCTAAGTTCAAGCATAGTTGTAAGTGTGTGTGTGTAAACCAAAACCCTGTTACATTTTGTGTTTGAGGAAGCATTCCCCAGCCAGAAATGGGATTATATGAAAATAATATTAGCAAAGTTCTTGAGCAAAATCAGAACAATCTTCCTTCCTCTCTGGGCATCTAGGTTTTAATGGGTCGAATGAATTCTGCTTTTGGCTCTTCATTTGTGCTCAGTGGATCCCAGCAGAAACTTGTCCAAATTCTCTCTCCATAGGAAAGGAAGAAAAAGTTTGAGAAGGATGGGGAGAAGTTTTACTCCATGTTGGACCGCCACTTGCATTTATCTTCCAAGAAAAAGGAATCTCAACTGCAAGAGGTAAAGGGCAGGCTGATGGTTGGGTGGGTGGTTGGAGAACTTTGTTTGAGAGAAAGGCATCTTCATGTAGCTGAGCAGGTCAAGGCACCTGTCTGTGATTTATTTATGTCCTACCATTTCTTCAGGAAATCTAGACACTGGCATCGCTCTGCATTATTCCCGTGGTTCTTGTTCCTTTTCTGCCTGCCAGCAAGTTTTTCCCCACCACCGAGTTCTCACATCAGTGCATCAGGTCCGCTGACTTTGCTGCCTCGCACTCCCTGCCCCCCAGGCAAACGGATTAGCATTCAGGTTATCAATCAAGGCTTGACAGTTACCTGTTTGAACTGATATACCAGGCCATAATCCTACAGCTATTGCACCAATTACATCTGCTTATCTCAACACTTCTCTGGCAAGCAAAAACATTCTGGACTTTTTATCACTAATGGCAGGCCAAAAACGAACAGGAGCCATCTCTGCAACAACTTTGTCAGTTAAATTGGTCTGAGAAAGCAGTGGCTGGACCTAAATCAGCTAGTGAGTTTTGCTGGCTAAAAGTGGACTAAGCTTGGATTTTGCTAGTCTTAGCCCAGCACCTCCCCCCTGGCCTGGCTTCCACATTGCATGAGCAATGCCGAGAGCTGGACCCAATTTGTAAATGAGTTTGGAGAGCCAGTTTGGTCTGGTGGTTAAGGCTCCAGGCTAGAAAGTGGGAAGTGGTGAATTCAAATCCCACCTTAGCCATGAAAGCCAGCTGGATGACCTTAGGCCTGTCACTCTCTCAGCCCAACCCACCTCACAGGGTTGTTGTGGGGAAAATAGGAGGAAGATATGTCGGATATGTTCGTCGCCTTGAGTTTTTTGTAAATGTAATAAAAGTGATTCCACTGGCAAAATTGTGTGTTCAGTAATAGAGAGAATTAGTTGAACTTTTTATTCACTTTCCCCCTATTTGTTATGTAAAAATTGTTGATTTCGGTTGCTTCAATTTGCACGCTTTTCAAATAGGAATTCTGGCTAGTATAGCTAATACAGTTTGTTCTTGGGAAACAATTCAAAAACACATGGTGTTTTCTGTTCTGGGATACATTCCTCTCTCTTTCTACTTTTACAAATAGTGTTCAGCTGCTCATGGATTTATAGCTCTCTTAAATGCAGCAGAAGGATTGTGTAGTATTTCTTTTCTTTCTTTTTTTCTGTTCAGGCTGATTTGCTGGTTGATAAAGAGCGACACATTTTTTTTGAATCTTCCCTGGAATACGTGTATCAAATCCAAGAAGTGCAGGAGAGCAAGAAATTCAGTATTGTGGAGCCTGTAAGTCTGGTCCCAGTTTAAAGGGAAAAGAGATTCTTTAATTCATAGACTGGCTGCTAAGGGCAGTCCTTGACTTAGGACTGTAATGGAATCTGCCAGTTATGGCAATAAGTTGTGGCAGTTGTGAAGCAGGTCAACACGTGACCGACTAGATTTCACAACCTTTTTAAAGTTGTGTCAGAACTTCAGAACTGGGTAGTTAAGTACCTTTTGGGCGGTCATTAAGTGGCTGGTCATAAGTTGAAGACTGCCTGTACTCTTTGTTGTAAGCCTTTACAATTGTTTGTTTCAGAAATGCATTTATTCTTAAAGAGAAAGGAAAGAAAAGGTGAAAAAAGTAAATAAAAATTTTCAGGAAGGTGAAATCTTGGAAGGTGAAAATTTTGCATTTTCTTTTTCTTTTCTTTTATTTTGCTGTAAGTGGAACTCTTGGTTGTAAAGTGATCAAAAGTAGGAAACTGAAATGTGCACATGTTTTACACAGAAATAAATAGTTCCATCCCATTTAGTAGTGGTAGAAAATTGGCCCAGTTCCATTCTTTATAAACTTTATAAACTTAAGTTTGCATAAAAAATGATTATCTGTGCCATCTAATTCCCAAAGTTGCAAAAGAGGGCTCAAAAGCCATATCTACCAACACTGTTATATTCAAACGTTGACTTAGAGAAAATATATAATACATTATGCAGAATTAAAGGCAAAAACCTATTTCACACAATTGTAGATGCACAAAGGTTGAGGCCTTGGTGAGGGAGAGTAGGTGAACCTGAACTGCTTGTGTTTCCTGATCAGGTGTGAACATGGTCAGAATCTCTCCATTGTCAGAGATTCCAACATTGCTTGGCCAATGTTGAAATCAGTTCTAATTTGTTGCAAAGTCGTTTGGCAGCATGTTCCTCCTCCAGAGGTCCAGTTCCATTTTTGGCGTGGTCCATGGCTTTTGCCTGTACAATTTTTAAAATATTCTTATCATTCTTCCCTGCACAGGTGTTGGCTTTTCTTCATAGCCTCTTCACTTACAACAACCTGACTGTGGAGCTCACACAAGATTTCCTTCCATACAAGCAACAGCTTCAGCTCAGTTTGCAAAATGTAAGCGAATTTCCAATATTCCTAGTGTCTTCCCACTTCTTTTTAATTGGAGAAGCAGCATTTCTTAGTGACACTCTTATTCTCGCCACTGACTTTTAGGCTGGACCTGCACGTTTTAACTCACTTTTTTTTAAATACAAGGAATGTTTAGAGAGCACCTGGTCCTGTTTTCAACCTTTTTTTAACCCGAGACGGGAACATCTGAGAAGCCCTGCCTGTGGCCTCGATTGATCCATGGGGCCTGATGAATTTGTCTGCCAAAACTGCTCTGGGGTCTCCCTCAGATATTCTGGGCCTTCCCTAAAGAAGGTGGGGCAGCCAAGGAGTGCCTCGGACAGTCTCTTGGTCAGCCAAGGACACCAGGCCTACACTGGCAGGGATCCCAGCTGCAGCACTTACCTTCCCTGGAAGAGGGAAAATAGGAATCACAGTGCCCCTCCCAAGTGCTGAGCTGGACCTGTTCCTCCACTTCTCCAACCTGGGGAAGGGAGAAATGGCTGTCCAGAAAAGAATCTGGTTGTCCTGATTCTGTGCCTCTTCCTCCATAGGAAGCTGGTGGGTGTCCAGACAAGGGACTTCTGGAGAGGGGCAGACATGCCATACCTCAAGTTCTTGCCCAGCCCAGTGGGAGAGACCCTGGTTTCAGAACAGCTTTGAGCCTATGATCCAGGCTCTGTCCTCTTTCCCCAGGTTCCAGAGAAGGGCAAATCAAATACATTGAGCCTCTTTGGATAAATATTCTTCCCGGATGTGCAGAGGTTGTGTTTTGTTTTGTACTTGGGGAAAAAAAAAACACCCTCCCTGTACAGGCAGGATGTAAAAGTATACTTGGTTGTTTAAAATATTTAAAAATTATCCCTTTGGCTAAACGTTTGGTAAGACACTGTGATTATCATCAATTTATGTTAAAGCTCCAGGATGGAAAGTCGACTCTTCCACTGTTCTCTGTGGAGGCATGTTCTCAAAGCAGCCCTACTGATCTTAGGATGTTTTACGCACCTTCACTTTGTAGAGGTGGCTCTAGAAAGCATCCTCTGCTTAAAATGATTGCTAGGTTGGCCCATGAAGATTAGCCTTCTTCTCTGGCTCTTTCATGGAAGACCACTGAAGTATTCCGTTGGCCATTTGCTTCCCAAATGTGAATTGAGTCTTTTCTCCCATTGCTCAATAGACAAGGAATCATTTCAGCAGCACTCGTGAAGAGTTGGAAGACCTCAAGAAAAGAATGAAAGAAGCCCCACTGACCTGCAAATTACCTGGCAAATCGACTATTGAGGGATACCTCTATTCACAAGAAAAATGTAAGAGGCAGAGTTCCTTTCTTATTTTAAACGGGGTTCCTACAGAGTGGAACCCCGAAAGTTCTGGAATGAAAATAAGAGAAGAGTCACTCCTTGTGACTGTGGCTAAAATAGGCCTTTGATTGAAGAACTTGGAAATAAGTGAACTCTGCTCTCCTTGCAGTCAACTGAAGGTCCCCAGGCCCGGTGATCTCATCAAAATGCACCTTTTTATCAAGCCTAAAACTAATTGAAATAAAATGAGGATGGAAGATTGGGGGGACTGGGGGCTGGGAGGGCAAAACAATTCAAAAATGAACCTGGGAGGTTGGAGCCTTGACTGGCCCGGTTCAAACCCTCATGGTGATGTTACCACCCAGCTGTGCCCAGCTCTTGGCCAGGACTCTTCCCGCCTTCCGCTCTTGCCAGGGTTTAAGCCCGGCTCCCTCCCTCTTCTGTCCAAATAGAGGGAGATCTCTTGCACCACTGATGGGGACTTAGCCAGAATCCTCACTATTGCTTTCAAAACATTTTTACCAAGGATACAGGAAAATGAGGAAAAATTAAAATGGAATCGTTTTCTGCTTCCCTGTGTTACAGATAGTCCTCAGCTTAGGACCACAATGACGACCAGAGCTTTTGTTGCGAAGCAGTTTGGTCATTAAGTGAGACATCATGTGACCATGCCCAATTTTATGACCTTTTCCCTACTTCCCCCGCTGATTGTGCTCAGCAGAAGGGAAGATGGCAAGTGGCAGTCACGTGAGCCCAGGAGGGTGCAATTGTCATATGCGGTCACTAAATGAATAATTGTAATCGTAAATCGTAAATCGTAAATAATTGTAAGTCGAGGACTGTCTGTATTTCCCCAGGCTAAACTCCCTCCACTTGGGATCTCCGCTGCAAAGTGGGGGGCTCATGGGGGGGGGTTTCAAGCCCTTCTCCCCTGAAGCCCTGGGGAGCCGCCTTTCCCAGGCAGCCTCCCCACGAGTGCAGCCCAGCCCTGGCCAAAGGAAGGGGCTGTGCGAGACCACAGAGAAAAGTGGCACCTTCAAGAAGAGGGGCTTCACTCTGGTGAAAGCTTTTGGGTTGGGTTGCCCATCCTCAGTTCTCCAGTTTCTCACAATATTTCTCCTGCACAATGTCGCCTCACTGGCATAACTTGGCTAGAATCTAACTGATATTTACTCTGCTGCTTGCCATATTTCTCAGATATTCCAGCAGTTCCTCACATCTTCTGAATTCTTCTTGTTATTATTATCAGATTTTTATCCCACCTGTATTTGTGTATGTGTAAAGTGTCAACTCAAGATGACAAACATACCTAATACTCCTGCCACCTATTCCACCACCACCACAACCCCGGGAGGTGGGTTGGGCCAAGAGAGAGTGATCGGCCCACTTACACAGCCCACTTCCCTGCCATCTCTACTGTACAGAATTTCAATATAGGACACATTGAAATGGAGGGTTATCATCTGTCTACTGAGATCCTTTGGCATATCAGTTCAAGGTTACATTTGGAGGCCTTTTGGAAGGCTTTCTGGTTTCTCCATCTCTATCATCAATGTCGGTACTCTTTTTGTCTCTGAATTTCTTTCTTAAGAACCTACTGGGAGCATTGTCTTTCTTGGCTCTGGCTCCTCTTTTTGTAATTCCCCTGTTTTGTTCCCGAGTATGATGAATAAGGCACTAGTAAACTAGGTAGGGGGTTCCTCTGTATATGCTACCTGTATGATACTAATTAAGGGAATGCACTCCATTTTTTCTTGATTCTCCAGAATCAAGGGCAGAGGCTAGTTCTCTTGAGCGCTGTGAAGCCCAAAGAGGAACTGAGAAGCTGCAGGGTCTTTCTAACATCTGGGTCTGGCCTTCTTTCGGGGAGAAATCGTTATTACCAAAGCGAATTATGGGATCCTGCCCTAAAGACCGCTTTTAACCAGCACTTGAGGTATCGCAGCCTCATGCTAGTCCCTGCAGAAACCGGAGTGGTGGGAAAGAACATTTGCACACCTGAAGGCCCACAGGACACCCTTGCGGGAATGCAAGGTAAATAATTGCCTCACGGGATCTGAGGCATTCTTGGGCTTCTTCAGCCAAGTGCTGATCACCCTGGAATCCCCCTGAGAGACCCTTGAAAGCAGCTCTGCTCATCCGAGAGATGCCACTTTACAGCAAGGCCATTAATAGAAGTCTCTGCTGTGTATTGGAAAAACTCAGGACAAACAAAGCTTAAAACGCTTATCTGTGTGCTGTATATGGCTGCAATCATCCTTGCAAAAAGCGTTCCCAGGTTCATAGCAACTCTGTTCCTTTTTGAAGAAATACACTCTTCCTGTATTTACTTTTCTCCCTTCTCTCTCCCCCACCCCACTCCTAGTTTCCTATAGAACCATAAAGCTGGGAAGTACTTCAGCCTGTCCCACCATTTGACAGATCTCATTTTCTGGAAGCTCTTCCTGATTTCTTATCTGGATCTATTTCCTTACATTTCAGCTTCTGGCCTTGCCCTTTGGGGCAACAGAAAACAAGTGTCTTTCCTTCCTACAACTTTAGGTTTTTGCAGGCTGCTATTTTTTCTCCCCTCAATCGTCTCTTTTGTAAGCTGAACTTCCATTAAACTTCCTCCCTGGGCAATTCCGTTCCTAGGTCATTTAGCCCTCTTCTGAGATATTCCAATTGGTCTTTTCCTTTTTAGATTGTGATGTGTGGAATTGGGTGCCCTGCTCCACATGGGCCATGACCAAGGCAGAATAGAGAGTGAAAATCATTTTCCACGATTTGGGCTCTACCACCTTGCTAATTCAGAGTAGTATTTACTGCTTGGTGGCTTCACTACTTTGTTGGTTAATGTTCACACTGTGATGTCTTGGAAGACCTGGATCATTTGCAGGTGCATCATTGTCCAGCCAGGACTCCCCCATTCTACACCTGTGCCTTATCCTTTTTTTCCCTCCTAAGATGCAGGACTTTGACATTGTCCCTGTTAAATGTCAACTCCTGTCCTGGTCATTAATAAAAATGTCGAGCAGCACTGGGCCCTTTACCCCAAGCTGAATGGAGCCATTCACAAGCATTCTTTAGACATGCTCATCCTACTATGGGATTGTCTAAGAGTGACATCATCTAAACCAGTTTTTCCATTCTGTTAATGAGGATATCATGAGTTTTAATCAGTGAAAGCAGATGCTTTACAGTTAGTTAAATTCAACCTTGTAACCAGAATGGAAATCAAAGAGCCGAGTCAAGTTCTTACAAATATTGAATTGAGAAAAATTGGCCAGGGCCAGTACATCACAGCTAGCCTGTGGCATTGTTCTTTCTTCTACAGATGTCCGCCTGCCATTTGTCTTTTCTTTAGTGCTGGAGACCCAGGCACAGGTAGCATTTGAGATGGTTGTATTGGATATTGCACGTTTCTGAATGTGGAGAGTGGGGTGTCTCAGATATTAATTCATCTCTTGACTTGATGTAGGGGCACTGGGAATCTCCTGGGTCAAATACTACTGCCAGTATGAGAAGGAAACAAAGATGTTAAGAATGACACCCATGGAGCAGAAACCAGGAGCAAAACAAGTGAGTAGCTTCTTGCGTCAATGGTAGGAAACCAGGCAGAACCTCTGCACCCCTTTAATAGCCCTTAACGAACGCTGAGCTCAAACTGCAACTTGTGGGTTCTCCTTCCTCTGTAACTTTCTGGTCTCCAGTTGAGATGTATTTGATTTTGTTTGTTTGTTTGTAATCTTCATAAAGGGATGTAATTTTAGAGTGTTTAGAGGCAAAACCATGCAGGCTGGCGATTATAAGAGCTACGAGACATTAGATTGGGGACGCCTCTTCTTAACAGAATGGAAATTATTTGACATGTCAGATTTGCATTGTGTCATCTGCCAGTCTCTCAGAAGAATCATAAACAGAACAACTGATCTTCTAATGCTCAAGATCAGCATCAACTCTCTGGACAAGAGAAAACCTTTGGGCATTTCCCCAAGACATCTATCCAAAGGATTCTTAAGCTGATGACATGGTCTTGGATCATACCAAAACTTTTATCTTGCTAAACTTTAGCTCAGTGAAGCGTCTTTTATTGTTCCTCCAAAATGCTCTTTTATCAAGCAAAAAGTAGACCTTTATAAACTTTTTCTCAGTGTGGTCTTTCTTAAAGGGGCAGTATTTCTATTATTAACTATCCTTTAATATAGGCAAAATTTTGCATGTCTAACCCAAGACTTCTCTTTACTTGAAATTCTCTATTTGCATCTTTATCAATGAAATTTGAAAAAAATCTTTCTACTGGAATGATAGGAAGCTTCTTTTCACCTGGTTACATTGTCAGCAAGGGAAGGAATAGAAAGCTCTTGAAAATGCTCTCCTCCTGCCAAAGAGAGATTCTGGTGTTCTTCCTGGGGAGGTTTGAGCCTCTCCTTTGGATTTCTCTGCATTGCCCATTTCAACTGATCTTCATTCTTTGGGATGGCAGAGACGGAGCGGCTGCGGATTGTCTCTCCAGTGTGCTGGGCCCCCCTGGCTTCCCCTGCATCCCTGTCTGAAGGGGTCCCATGCAGGAAGTTCCCTTCTGAGCTCTTCCCGTCAGACAGAGTGGGAAGAGTGGCAGACCGAGAATGCTACAGACCAGGACATACATTGCCACAAGAGAAACAGGATGTTGGCTACCACTTAACTAAATAAGGGGATGGTGCCTTATCAACTTTTTCTTCTCTTTTGAAAGAAATTTCAAAAGCAAATTCTCATCAAATTGAATGAGACCTACTTGAAAGAAATGCAAAATAATAAGTATTTTTGTATGGGGAGAAAATGTTTAATCCTCTCCACACTGAGTTGCCAACAAATTGCAACTTAGGTAGTGGGTAGGCTTTTATTCCCTTTCATTTATATAGCTGCCCCTCTTGCAAATGCAACTCTGGATGGTGCATATAGTATTAAAAATCCAAAAACTACAAACGTAAAAACAAATAACAATAACACAATAGTGATATTATGGTGCCTGAAGACATTCTAAGCCAATTCAGAATAAGAAAAATCCCATCAGCAGGATCAGCCAACTTCTGACCCCCTGGTGGCTCCATGGAATGAATGTGTGGGAATTCCCCCTGCTGAATAAAACTGGTGAGCTCCTCCCACTTGGAGGGAGTCTGCCGGCTCTCGGCTGAGAATCCATTCAATCCATTCCATATTATCTTTGACCAGGTAAAGCCCAGCTTCGTTTTGCTGACTTATCCAGGTAGACCAGGACTGAGTTCTGGCTTATCCACATGGCTGTGCAAACACAAGGCATCAATCCTCAGAGGTCCTTTGCTTGTGCATGCAGCTCCTGGGTCCAGCCCTCCAGTGTGGACAGGTGGTGTGTTCTACACAGTTGGCAGCTGTGAATGAGCCCATGGCTCACCCAGAAGAAGCTGTAGGCCTCCCAGTTCAAGCCACTGTCCTCTTGGAAGGGAGAAGGAAAAGGACTGCAAAGGACCTCCTTCTCCTGCCACTTTCCATCTCATACCTCTTCCCCACATTGGGATCTTGGTGCATTTCTGCTACTAGGATTAGGGCTTTTGGAAGGAGAGCAGCAAGGTGGTGTCAGGAGATTTATCACCATCATTGCCAGAATCCAGGGCCACCAGACATCCTCCGCCCACTTGGTCCCATCCAGGCCTTCCTTTCCCCTCTTACATACAGTTTTGCAGATCCACTTGATATTACTCACACCTAAAAAAGAAATGGAAGGAACTCACTTGAACTGCAGAATAACCCTCCTAGCCCAGCAGCCAACAAAGTGAAGGCTGGCTGCTGCCCCGAGCTTCCTCCTCCATTCTCCATCTCTCAGGGGCCATCCTTCCTTCTGTGCCGCTGCATTTTGTCCCCTTTCACATCCCACTCCCTGCAGTTGGGCCTGGGTGGGGCACTTTCTCAGAATCTACCAAGCTTCCCAGCAACCCACCCCACCCCAGTCATGGAGGCTCCCCAGCGGCCTCAGTGCCGAAGTGCAAGCAGAACTGAGGCTCTTCTTCAAGCCAGTGGCAGGACCAAGGCCTGCACAAGATCCTGCAGTGACTGTCGGGGGCTCCCCTGGTCAGGAGCCCTGCTGAAAAGGGCGACAGTGGCTGCGTCTGCCGGGCTGCTCCTGCTTAGGCCTTCTGTCCCGCAAGCTTTCCTGTAATGAGAAAATGTCGTCTCCTGCTCTTGTTCTTTGATTTGCCAAAATCAGATTGAGATTAAGACCACTTTCAACTTGCAATGATTGGAGAGCTGGCTGTTACTCTTGATGCACACTTCTTAAATTGCCACCTTAAAGTGCTGCTGTTGTTTCTTTTAAATGCAATGTTCTGTTTCTCTCAGGGCACCCCTGTCCATTTGATTCTGAAATCCTGCGTGCGAAGGAAGACTGATTCTATAGACAAAAGATTTTGTTTTGACATTGAGACAGTTGAAAGGTGAGCTAAAACTTTGGCAGCTTCGGTCCCACTGAAATATTGTTCAGCTCTTCTTTAAAGATTGTGCAGATAAAAATAAACAATAATGGAGGGGTGGAAGCTTTTTCCTCACTCATATGATTGGGCATTCTCTTTGAGAGAGTTGAAGGGGCTGTAGGGATCCCTCCCCCCATGCTCAGTGTGTAAATGCAGATTAAAACTTTCTTGATCAATCTCTCTCCTTTCTCTGCTTGAACATGTCTGCTGAATGCTGCGATCTCTCTGGGTCTGCTCTTACTTTTTTGAAGGGTTTTGATGCTTTCTGCCTGCAGCGATGATGGAGAATTTCAAGAGAAAACAATTCTGCTCAGGTCTAATATTAGTGCAGATTTTTGTTCCCTTTGAGCTGTTGTTGGCATCTGTTGGCATCCAGATTGGATGTTGGTTAAGAATCCAGAGCTGCTTGATGAAGTCATGGCAGTCTTGATGATGAGACATTTGACTTAATCAAATCAAAGGGGAGATTGATGGAAAAATGGCTTAAATACAGAGAGAGAAATGTAGAAATGGTTTGATAAATTTGGTGAATTTCTTTGAACAAAATAAATTTCATATGCACTTGTTTTCAGTTTTGGATTAAGCTAAAATATGTTTCTGGCCCTTAGTCCAAGATGTTTTCTTGATCAGACCAGTGACTGATCTGTTTCCTCTGGCCTCTGTTTCATTTGCAGCTGGGCAACTTTGAGATCTGTGGATTTCAGCCCCCGAGTTCCACAGTCACCACAACCATTGCTGAAATTTTGAGAGATAAAATCCACATATCAAGAAGTTGTTCAATTTGAGAAGTACTTGATCTACTAAAACAAGAGAAAAATCATTCCTCAGAATGAACAAATATTTACCTCCAATTGCTAAAAACTGAACCATTAATATACTGAGGAGTTCTTCCTGAAAGAAGTCTGTCTACTTTCCTCAGAGCCCTCCTAGAGCCTCCCTCGCATTTTTCAGTTTTATTTTGGGAGTTGTAAGAAAAAAATAAAAGCTACGTTTGAGTTGGCTGTTAATTTTTCTTTCTTGTCCCCCTTGCTGAATTTTATGCAGATCTGGTCCCATCACCTTACAAGCTCCCTCAGAAGCCAACCGACGGCTCTGGATGGAGGCCATGGATGGGAAGGAGCCGGTAGGTAGGCAGGTGGTCCTTTTCCTCTTTCCGAGAATGGGAGTGATTTTGGATTGGCAAACTCTCCTCAAAAAGTGTTTTAGCTGTTTTTTTAAATACAAAATACGCCTTGGAAAGGTGCCTTGGATTTAATTTTCAGTCTGGAGGTGTTGGTGTATTCCAGGGCACATCTATTCAGAAGTAAGCCCTTCTGAATGAAGCTGGACATTAGTAAAGTATGGTGTGGTCAACGGATCAGCTGGCTCCTTAGGGCCCAAGGCACCCTCAGATGGCATTCACAGGCCTTCTCCCCAAAATTAAAAAAAATAATTGAATTATTGAGATCTTTTAAGAAGTTAATATCCTGGCAACTTTTAACATTTAGTTTTTTTAGTTTTTGTATTATTATATCAAATTCCTGGCATCACTTCAGACCTCTAGGGAAAAAGGGTAGTGTGACTTCCAGCTGAGCCTGTTGGGAGAGTTAGAAAAAGAAACCGAGTCACGTTTCTCTTCCCTGCTGCTTCTCAGGCTGAAATATTCAGCCTGTTGGCTCTGAGCTGCCATTTGAATCTCCACCACCACAGGTTAGCCACAGGCCTGGCGCTTCTCGCCTCCTGCTCCTCCCCAGATGTTTTCCCATTTACCTGACCTGCCTGGCGATTCGTGCTCTGACTGAAGGAGCAGGAACTTCAGCCAGAACACGGATCACCATTCCTTTCCTAGGATGGACTGCCAGCAGGAAGCACCCAAGCATGGAAAACATTTATTAAACACCCCAACATTAAAAATGACGTTAAGTGAAATATTTCAGCTCCCATGTTGGGCAGGATGGATGGAGCCGCTGAAGGTTTCTGCCAGAGGCCAAATTATGTTTGACAGGATAATAATAAATGTTTGGAGTTTCAGCCAACCCCGAAAGGAACAGAGCATGTTTGCCCCCTCCTTTCCCCCTAAGCAGACTCCTTGCTCAGTCGCCATTTACCTCAAGAAGCCCCTTGCAGCAAAGCCCTTTGGCTCTTGGGGGGTGTCAATCCCATCCAAGGAGCCCCCTGTTGCTGGGTTTGCTGAGAAATTCACTCTCCTGATCATCTTTGAGTGAACCTGGTGACTTTAGTTATTTGGTTTTATTGCTTTGTTTTGGTCTCTTGATGGAAAGTGGGCTAAAAGTCATAATTAATAAATTGAAACTTGGAAGTATCTTCATTTTTTGTTCACTGTGTTGATCATCTGCATAATCAATATTAGAGTTCTGAATTAATAGAGTCTTAGATTACAGTAAGTTGCAACCTTTATTATTGGCTTATTAAAGCACATTTTAAAAATACGTTGTGACTTTTGAAAAAATCCTCTGCAAATTTCTTCTGAACACAGTTTGCTAGAGTTACTTCCCTACTTCCCTTGCTTTTCCCATGATTTTTCAGATTTTCTTGAATCTCTGCAAAAATTATTTCTGGACTTGCTTAGATTCCTTGCAGTCTTTGAGTATATCATCAGATACTCTAACCTTGAACCCTGGCACATAAAGCTTGCCTAATGTTGGAGATGAGAAGCCAGGCTCACAACAGGATCCAGGGACTTTCTGGGTTGTGAAGAAGAAAGGTTGTGCTGTCCATACATAGTGGGGGGGGGGAATGAAGGATCCTATGCCAGCACCCAACTGGATACTCCCCCCTCCCCCTTTTAAGAGAAGAAAAACCCTGGCTGGTGTGCAGTCCCTTCTCAGGTGGGGTGTACTCCAGGCATGGCAGCTGTGGAAGGGCATTCTGGGAAACGTCACCTCCTTCAGTCAGACCTCCTTTTTCTGATGCTGGGAAAGCAGCATCCTGGGTGTCAGGGGGGCTGAATAGGTGGAAAACTGAAAGGGGAAAGAAGGAGCAGGCTAGTGAAGCAACCGGGGCAACGTGTGGTGCCCCCGGAGAGCAACCTGGCAGTGGGGGCTACAGTCTGACCTCAGAACTTTGCCCCCATTGTTTACAGGGGGCCCTGAGAGATTATTCTCTCCACTGGTTCTTAGGTTCTTCATGAGAGTTGCTCGGGGTGGGTTTTATACCTTATTTATACCTTATTCGTCATCCACCCCAACAATTATTTTTCCCTGTTGCCATTTTGTGTCCTCCAGACGTTTTGGACTAGGAGAAGGACTGGGGGTGGGCCTGGGGGGGTCCCTCGGTGTATCTCGGCCTGCTGTTGAAGAGAGGATGGAGGATGCCTCCAGGGATGCTGGGGAGGAGCACTCGCCCGCTCGCAGGACCGGAAAAGAAGCCTTTGCTTCTGTGTGGAACTGCCGACCTAGGTTTCTGTTGCCAGAAGCAAGCCTTGTTTTGGGGCGCAATGGCGCTTCATCGGGGGTGCTGGAGCAGCTGCACGGAGAAGGCTGCAGAAGGAGAAGGCCTTTTGGGGGGAATCTGGAATGAAAGATATGAAATGGTGGTTGCCTCTATCCTCAACAGGGAGTGGTAGCATTGATTGGTAGCAGTAGGATGTCTCCTCCCACTAGACTAGACAGCCACAGAGAAAATTTGGAAGACAGATCTGGGGTGTACGTGTGTGTGAATTCATATTGGGAACAGACCCTTCCCAATACGCTTTTTAGAAAATTAGAAACACCCACGCGTGCACACATACACGCACACACACAAGTTCAGAGTGCCTTTTTTCCATCTTAAGCATTTAAAGCCTTTCACTGTAATGTGCAGCTTGGCAAAGACTTTGCAAAGATGAAAACTAACCCAAGTGCTTATTTTCAAATGATGTTATCTCTGTTTCCTTTGTCTCTCTCTCCTCCCTCACCCCATTCCTTTGGCCTGTCATGCTTTGTATTGACCACTTGTTTTTCTTTATCTCTCCTTCCCCTCCATTTTGCTGTTTAGATCTACCACAGTCCCATCACCAAGCAGGAGGAAAGTGAGTATGTCAATTTTCCCAACATTGGGGATGCCAAAGTGAGTCATTCTGTTTCAGAGAGAGCCCACTGCTGCCCACTGCTGGTGGCATGTCCAGGTTTTGTAATCACAGTTTAAAATAGGAATGATCAGAAACATTGCTAGCGTCTGGAAAGTTAAAAGGATCAAGAAGAGTATACTTCATGCATCGACAATGAACCTCCTTTTTAAAAAATGTTTTGCATTTTGTTTTGGGAAGGATCTTCCTTTCATGTTCTTCAGGATTACTCTGACTTCAGTGTCCACATTTTAAATAGGCTTCCAGAGTCCAACCAACTGCAGGCAGTTCACAGTCTTGGTTTTCTGAAAGGGTAACATTGTCTTGCACCATTTCCAAGTTTTAGCTACAAATATATTGGGGTTTTCTTAAGCAGCTTGATAGCTTTTTAATGAGAGAGGTACAGTTCCCCTCTAGAGTTAGACATGCTGATATTTTTGAAAATGGCTGCAGGGTAGCCGTAGAAAAGAGGATCAGCAGCAGTTACTTTACTTTTCTTCTTAACTTGAAGTTTCAAATCCAGCCGTTCTCAGTCCCAGGAAGCCATTTTGCACCAGCCCATTCCCCCTTCCCCACAAATGTGATTCGGAGAAGTAGTAAAATGTAAGGAAGTAGAAAGAGTGCAGCATGGCTGTGCCCACTTCAACTCCTTTCTTTCAGCAGGATCTTTGCCCGAATGAATTAAGCTGCAAAGAAAATAAAAACAAAAAATTAAGGAATAGTTAATTGGAAAGCTTATTACAGCCACCAAACGAGGGCTGGGAAAATCTAGATCAGGGCTTTTCAACCAGTGGTACGGGTACCACCTGTGGTACATTGGCACCTGGCAAGTGGTACGCGACCATCCTAGAAAAGTGGTAGCGGGGGAGGGGAATGAGCTGTACCAGTGGCAGCACCGCACAAGCCTGAGCGAGAGACGGCTGGAGCTGCAGGGCTGTCAGGGCTCAGCGGAAGCGCCAAGATCAGCGCCAGGCTCCAGCTGGAAAGCGGCACTGATCATTGTGCTTCCGCTGAGCTCTGACAGCCCCAAAGAAGCGCCAATCAGCTGGAAAGTGGCACTGATCCTGGCGCATGCGCTCACACACACATAAACACATACGCAGGTCTGGGAGAGGTGAGCTGAGCCAAGCCACGCAGAGGCAATGACGGGGGGGGGAAGGGAAGCCTTTGCCCACCACTGCCTGCCTGTTTCCACCTCTTCCGGGAGCCTCTGGCAGTTTAAAAAAAAACCAGGGGAGGGAGGGAGGGAGGAAGGAAGGATGAAGGAAGGAAGGAAGGAAGGAAAGTCAGGGAAGGAGGGAGGGAACTTGGATATAAAAGGAGGGGAGAGAAATTTGTTAAATGAGCTTTGCCCCATTTTATGACTTTTCTTGCCACAGTTGTTAAGTGAATCACTGCAGTTGTAAAATTAGTAACATAGTGGTTAAGTGAATCTGGTTTCCCCACTAACTTTGCTAGTCAGAAGGTTACAAAAGGTGATCACATGACCCTGGAACAATGTGACCATCATAAATATGAATCGATTGCCAAGCATCCAAATGTAAATCACATGACCCTGGGGATGCTGCAACGGTCATAAGTGTGAAAAATGGTCATAAGTCTCTTTTTGCAGTGCTGTTGTAACTTTGAACAGTCGCTAAGTGAACTGTTTTAAGTCAAGGACTACCTGTACTTTATCACTTTTTTCCAGGTTTTTTTGGTCATCACGTTTTTGACACCTTGCTAGGCGACTGGTGGTACTCGGATGTTGCCATATCCTAAAAGTGGTACAATGGGTGAAAAGGTTGAAAAGCCCTGATCTAGATAGTCAGGAGAGGGCAGAAAGCCACCGGGGGACTTCTGTTTCCCTGTAGAGCAGGCGTGTCCAACCTGTGATTTATATACATTGACTCCATTATATATTTTATATGCAGCCCAAGACAATTCCTCTTTATTCAGCACAGGCCAGGGAGGTGGACCTCCATGCTTTAGAACTCAGCCCTTTTATGACTCACGGACTTCAACTCCCAGAATTCCTCAGCCAGTTTGCCTGGCAAGACTTACAGGAATTGGAGTTCCACACAGGTGGACAATGCCAACCCATAAAAGACTGATATAAAACAGTTGTACTTTAAATCTAATCAAAGAGGTCAAAATTAGTGCAGACTTCCTTGACCGCTATACTGAAGTTGGTTCATTTCTTATCGCACCACATTTGAAGAGCAGGACTGGTTTTGAAGTTTCTAAAAGTCATTTTATCTAGTGGGATCTTGCTTTCTCCTTGCATAGAGGAATCCACTAAGACTTTGAATAAGTCGGGTTCTCAGCGCAGCATGCTTTACGTTGCTTGCTCTGGCAGCAGTTTTTTTTAACGTCCCACAGATTTGGGCCCAGCCATACCTGAAGAAGGCAGGATGAAGCCCGCGGGCCTCTCGTCGTTTGAACTGACCTTATTCATGGTCTGAGCCTCATTTGATATCAGGGTTGCTCCTTCTTGCAGCGGCCGTAGCTCACCGTCAGTTGGTGGGAACGGGAGCCTTCCTTGCCTGCATGTGCAGGAGGAGGCTGCCTACCGTAAAAGCAGCAGCATCGTTTATTCAAGGAGAACAAAATAAACATGTTCTTACTTGCTTTTCTGGAGGTTGGTGAGGGATAATATTCTCTGCCTTTTGCTTTTTTTCCCCAACAGTGGAACTGAACGAGATCGGCTTCAGATTTGTCCGGAAATGCATTAATGCAATAGAGACAAATGGTAAGTATAGCACAGGGCCCATTTTATTTAACTAGAGCAAAACATTGGAGTTGGGGGGGGAATGTCTGGCCGAGCAGTGCTGGCCTTGAATTGCAGTCCTTAAAGGATCTGGAGCATCCCCAATTTGTCTCTTCTATTGCATCTTTCCACAGAGGAAACAAAAGAGAATTCCTCTTTATTTCATTTCTGCCCCAGTTTTAAAAGACTGTTTAGATTATTTTTTCCCCAACCTTGACAACTTTTAAGATCAGTGGGTTTCAATTCCCAGAAGTCTCCCAGATGTCCACACAAAGCTTGTCAAGGTTGGGGAAAAAAATGTCTAAACAGTCTTTTAAAATTGCCAAAGTTGAGAAATGCTGTTTTAGGCCAATCAGCTCACTTTCCTAAGATCCCCAACAAAATCCTGTGGAGGACGTGGCGAAAGGCTACAAAGGTGTCTGGCCCCACCTTTGGAGCCCCACCTTCTCCTGTCCTACCTTTCCTCCTGTTATTCTGATGGAGGCTTTGGGTGGTCAGGATTTATTTTCAGAAAGGCCAGGGATGGAGCCTGGAGGGAGGCAGGGGTAGAGGTCTGAAGGGATAATTTTACGCTCCCAACGACAATTTCTCTAATTTGAGTGGGTGGGATCTGAGGAATTCTTTGGTTCTAGGACAGTGTTGCAGAGTTTGCAAGTTAAACTCTAAAGTAGTCTTAACATTATTCTTAAATCACTAAATTAAGCCAAAATGTCAACAGCAAAGTGCAATTGGTGGAGACACACATTTTTGTTAACCCTTGTAAACAGCAGTTGGAAAGACGACATGCAATTTTAGGAGCATCAAAGTAAACTAAATATTTGATACCTGCTATAAAGAAGAGTGGAAAACTGTTATAAGGAAAACATTTTGTACAATTTTAAAAGAACTGGGAAGGGAATTAAATATACTTCTGAAATGCTCAGAGGAAAATTCAAGATGGCTAATATTCCAGAATGAAACAATAAAAAAGAGTAGAGAAGAACAGGCGAGTCTTCTGTTTCTAGCTTTAAGAAGTTGTATCATAAAAGTGCCACAGAAATAAATGGGTTCTGTTCAGCTCTGTTCTTCAGACAACACTCAAAATCCCAGACAGTGGAGTGTTTCTGGCAGAAAACCTGAACAAGTGGCCAACAATGGAACAAAATGAAGGCAAGAACTTCAGCAGTATCAGTTTGCTTTAGATGTTGTCATTGTTTTCTTTGAGTATCCTTGTAAATTCTTTGGCTGGAATATTCTGGGGACATTCAATTAGAAGGCAGCATAGATTTGGTGCAGCCATGCGCATCTCATGGTTGAACATGGCAGCATGTCTGCGTTCCTAGACCCCCACGTGGATGAGTGTCCTCTGCCATGAAGGACAGACTTTCCTGCCACAAAAGAGTTCTATGGGTCTTAAAATTTGGGGCTGTAACTAATTACTTCAGGTAGTAACCGTCTGCAAGGGAGGAGATGTTGCAGACTGCTTTGGAAGTGCTGGGAGCTGCTTTTCCTCAGAGGAGGATGTGCAAAACTTCTCGGAGAGGGTCAGTCCCCACTTTGGCTTCTCCACAGGACTTTCTTACCTGTGTTAGCTCGCACTGCACGTTTACAGGCAATTTACCCTGAAGCCTTTTCTGAGAATTACTGTGTTCTAATAAATCATATTAAAGAGGACTGCGGTCTCTGGATTCTTTCCCATTTTAAATTATTATTCCAGAGTTTGTTACAAGGTACGTTTGAAAAATGATTTTCCCCCTTAATGATGGCATAAGGTGGCACTAGTGAGCTTCTGCAAATCCTAATAAAGATCTTTGTTTTGCTAGGATGAATTATTTGAATGGCTTCTTGTTTCTTCCTCCCGTTCAGGTGTCACCACTGAAGGGATCTATCGCACCGTTGGGAGCAACATCCAAGTCCAGAAGCTCTTGAATGCCTTTTTTGGTAAGAAGCAGGTCTTAATCAGAAGCTGTCCAAGAGAAACTGTCGGAGAGTAAAGGAACCAACTCCCTCTATTCAGACTACCACAGGGTGTACTTTGGCCATTCTGAAATCTGCCTTAGCATTTCACTGCTTTCTCTTTTTAATTTGCTGAATAATCTGTGAATATGGAGAATACATTTTTTTTCATGGGAATTAAATTAATATAATAGTTATAGTAGAATGGCTTTCATTAGCACACTCTTTTCTGAATGATAGAAAACTGGACTCAGGAGGAGGAGGAGGAGAGGGGAAGGACAGACCTAGTGGGGCTGTGCTGCAAATAGGTAGCCTTCCACTTAGAAACATTCGTTTAGCAACTGTTTGAAGTTACAGTGGCACTGAAAAAAGTGACATATCACTGGTCCTCACACTTATGACCGTTGCAGCAGCCGCATGGTCACATGATCAAAATTCAGGTGCTTGGCAACTGGCATGTATTTATGATGACCGTCGTGTCCCCGGGTCATGTGATCGCCATCTGCGATCTTCCCAGCCGACTTGTAATAAGCAAAATCAATGGGAAAAGCCAAATTCACTTAATGACTGCATGATTCATAGTGATTTGCTTAACAACCAGGGCAAGCGGCCATAAAATTGGGCACGACTCACTTAGCCATACCCTTGCTTACCAATGAAAACTCAGGTCCCAGTTTGGTTGTAATTCGAGGACTACCTGGGGGCCCCTCAAGGCCAAACGGGTCGAGGCGCTCTGGATGTTTCCATCCACACCGTCCAGCAATGTTGGGGAGGCTCTTTGGTGCATCAACAGAATCTGGCCCCTTAAGGGCTTCCTTTCCACCAACAGTTTGATGGTGGACATTGCTGGAAGGGGTGCAGTGTAATTTAGTGATGTTTGTATGGCAAAATTATCAGTTGGATATAATATCTGCAGGACACATTCTGCCCTCTTGAACAGGCTCACAAACTTGTGGATAAGAACCAGTTTCTACAGAAGAGAATATGCATAGCTCAGGGTTCAACTGTGGAGTCCTCAGTTGTTTCTCGCAGATGTTTCATTACCCAATTAACATCGTGATTTAAGTTGCGGAGGGAGGGAGGGAGGGAGGGAGGGAGAGAGAGAGAGAGAGAGAGAGAGAGAGAGAGAGATATGCTACTCTGCCATCCCACATCTCTGCCAGTGTTGAACATCTCAGTGCTTGCACTGGAGAATTAGGATCTGCATAAAAGAGTGAAGATTTGTATTTGTAAAAATGTATTGATTAGCTTTGAATTTTGCAGAAGCTGTTGGAAAATCTGTAAATCTGTAAAATATGTAAATCCAAACCTTCCAACTTTCCACTCATTTTGGTTATTCAGCTGCAATTGTGAATATCGCTGTTACTTGCTAATACAATCAGAACAATTTGCCAAATGAAAATAAATCCCAAAAGCTTAGGGCTTGTTTTTTTGGACTGAATATCAAGATTTACAATCTAGGACAAGAGAAGTAGAAATATGAGCACAGAAAAGGAAAGAAAACAGTTTTGGAGAGGAGATTTTGGTAAAGATTAAATAGCTGGAAAACTGATGTTTGATTAGACAAGTATATAAATGTGAAAAATAGCAGCTAGCAATCACAGCTACTCAGGCTTGGAGGAAAAGGGCTGGAGTTAGATTTCTGGGGCGAGAGGAAAGCAGTAAAAATGATGAAAGGCTGCAGACAGTTGGGCAGGCAACAAAAGCAGAAAAACTGCCAGAGGAATAAAAAAGAAAAAAAGACAGATTTTCCTCCCTAGTTAAAGAGGAAGGGATGAAGATAAAGGAGAGAGTAGGAAGGTCAGGGTCAAGTCTCTGCTCTCAGGGATTAGCAGTCATTAAAGTCATTAGTAAATTATAGCTCTTTCATAAAGAAGAATGACTGATTTGAAGGCAGGTTCAGTTATAACACTTCCAAGAGAGGAAATAGAATAGAATAGAATAGAATAGAATAGAATAGAATAGAATAGAATAGAATAGAATAGAATAGAATTGGAAGGGACCTTGGAGGCCTCCTAGTCCAGCCCTCTGCTCGAGCAGGAGAACCTATACCATCTCAGACAAATGACTGTCTAGTCTCTTCTTAAAAATCTCCAGTGATGGAGCGCCCACAACTTATGGGGACAAGCTATTCCACTGGTTAATTGTCCTCACTGGCAGGAAGTTTCTCCTTAGTTCTAGGTTGCTTCTCTCTTTGGTCAGTTTCCAACCATTGTTTCTTGTCCTGCCCTCTGATGCTTTGGTGAATAACGTGACCCCCTCTTCTTTGTGGCAGCCTTTCAAATACTGGAGCACTGCTATCATGTCTCCCCTCTTTCTTCTTTTCTTTAGACTAGCCAAACCCAAGTCCTGCAGCCGTTCTTCGTATGTTTTAGTCTCCAGGCCTTTGATCATCTTAGTTGCTCTTCTCTGAATTTTTTCCAAACTCTCAACATCTTTTTTGTGATATGGTGACCAAAATTGGCTGCAGTATTCCAAGTGTGGTTTTACTAGGGTTGGAGACCTGGTGTACGTTCCAAAGACGGGAGGGCTTCAAAGACATTGGAAGTTCAGTAAATGAAAGGATCACTACCAGTAAAGAACCACAGAAAGTTCACTAAGCATCTTATGTGCCATTTGAATGTCTCTTTCCCCTTAGGAAAGACAGAGATCTACTGGAAAGAGCCAGCAACCAGTGGGGATGTTTTGTTTCAGGTTCAAATCTTTTCTGCAGAATAGGTCCCTGCATGGCCAAGATATACAGGGGGCAAACCCTCTCATGCTCCTCCGAGACGTACAGCAGCTTCAATCTGTTTGGGTCTTTGGGAGGACAGGCTGGATCCAAGCATCCCTGCCTCCCTCAGATGCAACACAGCCCCTGTGAGAGGCCGGTTGCCAAAAGCTGTTCCCACAAAGTCATCCTGCTCTCCCCCTGCTCCCCCCCCATATCGGCACCTGTTCTGTTATCTGTCTGGGAAGCCCCCCCCCAAAAGCAGCAGGAGAGGCTTCGCGAGATCCCACAAGGTGAGGGTCTTCCCATGGGTCTCATCAGAATTTGGCTCACGGACAGCAGTTTCTTCAGTCTCTCCTGTGGCTTAATAAGATGGAGACCAGATTTCCAGTCCTCTGCTCATCTCATGGCATCCTCAGTTTTATTTATTCCTTTTCCCTAAAACTTATCAATGTTATTTTGAATTTTATTTCAGTCATCTAAGGCAGATAAAACATTTTGATCTCAGGAACCTTTTACATTTTAAAAAATGACTGCAGACCCTAATGAGCTCTGCTCTATGTGGATTATATCTGTCAATATTTCCTGTTTTAGAAAATAAAACAGAAGTTTTTAAATATGTATTTATTTGACTTCATGGGGACCCTTTGACAATTGCTGATCTAGGGGATTAGTTTTCTACCCAGTTTTGTATCATTCACTAATGATCGAAAAGGACAAATCTGTTAAACTTCCCTTCAGTTTCATCCACCTGATTAATTAAAAGTTGAAGCCTATGGGATCAATACTTAAACTTTGTGGCCCTCGTGCATAACTGCATCCCATATTGATGAGAAAGCATTGATGAACAGTGTCTGAATATTGATTTTCATAATCTATTTATGCACTTAATTATCAGGTTTAAATGATTTGCTAATCAGAAATAGGGTATTTTGTTAGATGTTTCTCTGAATCAAAATATATCTGTAGCATCCTTGCAATTTATTGAGAAATAAATCAAAACAGTGGGAAGAAGATGGGATGAGAATAGATAAATCCATACTGATTTCTGGAAAGCACACCGTTGTTTTCATTGTTTTCAGTCATTGTGTGGTCATGCTCTGGAATCTGTCCCACGTCTGATTCTAGGCTGGCAGGGGGTCCTTAAGAACAGGCTGCTTCGCCAGTGGCTGGAGTTCCCACAGGCTGCCTTGGGTTGGGCTGCTGGTGGCCTGGACTTGAGGTTCCGAAGTGCACCTGAGAGGCCTTCAGCCTTCAGCCTTTGCAGCCACTTGCTGTGTCCCGCAGTCACGTGGCACGTTTTGCAGCAGCTTTGCCAAGGAGCCAGAGTGCGGTCATTTGATGTCAGGGTGGTGGACCATTGTTGGAACTTCGAATCTGGGGCGCAAGTACCCTTCATGTAGGAACTTTGGTCGCAGGTCACACTCAGACTCTGTAATGCTTTGGGATTTGCCTTTTATCTTGTTGATTTTATAAAAATGTTTCTCTATTTCCCTATAGCTAAATGTTAACTATACTGTACATGCATGAATAATTAATCTGACTTATCTTTTTCCATTTTCCCTCCTTTTCAAGATCCTAAGTGCCCTGGGGATGTGGATTTCCAGAGCAATGACTGGGACATCAAGACTATTACCAGCTCCTTGAAGTTCTACCTCAGGTAGTGTTCAACTTGTTTGCTTCTGGCAAATGACTGCCCGAGTTCAGAATCCTCTTGTGGCCCAGATGGATGATGCTCTCCTAGTACTGCCTAGTTAGCTAGTGATGTCTGGATTCACTGCTTTGTGCCAGAGTTGCCTAAAACCAGCAAATGCTGGCCTTCCGTTCACAATGCTAGTTATCCAGTCTTCTTCCTGTAAGAAACGGCACCACTGAGAACCAGCCGCACAAGGGTAGGATAGAGTTGCAACTGCATTTTACAATTCTCCCAACCCCCTTTGTAGAGGGTGGGAAAATAGCAATAGCACTTAGACTTATAGCCATTGCAGTAGTGTTTAGACTTATATACCTCTCCATAGTGCTTTACAGCCCTCTCTGAGAAGTTTGCAGTCAGCCTATTGTCCACAATAATCTGGGTCCTCATTTTACCATCCTCGGAAGGATGGAAAGCTGAGTCAACCTTGAGCCGGTCAGGATTGAACTCCTGGCAGTGGGCAGAATTAGCCTGGAAGCTTTGTTTTCTGCCTCACTTCCTTTTTCTTCCACAATGGAGCAAAATAAAATAAAATTTTAATAATGTACAGTGGTGTGATTGGGAGTGTGCCTTCACAGAATTTCTGGGATCTATGTGTCTTTACTTAGCTCTGACCCTTTATGGTCATTTTCCATTGCTCATCCTGGGAGGCCATCGAAGGGTGGGCTGAAAATCAAAAGCTATAGGAACAAAGCTTTCCCTTTGGTCTCAGACACGTAAGAGGCAGTTAAACCCACCATTCTCACCATTGCTGAGCACATCAAGGGACAGCAAGAGGAACCCAGGCGTCAACCCTTGGGCAGATCAGTGGCTGCTCCCTGAGGCAGTGATTAGCAAAGAGAAACTCGCATCCTTTGGACATGCGATGTGAGCAGAATAGTGGGATAGTGAAAACAAGTAGTTTTGACAAAATTGAAGAAATACAGGAAGTGCTGTGCTGTTAATAGGTATGAGGCTGCATAAATTGGTGTAAGATGGGCAAATTCACCTGTCATTTATCAAGCCAGTTGATGCTTCTATCAACTATTTAAACAGGATGCTGCTTTTTAAAAAATACGTAAGGCATCATATCCTAGGCATCATAAAGAATGAGTGCATAAAGGGTACCAGATGAGCAATCTCGATACAACAAATTGAGACATAAAGTGCTCCCCCCAACCACAGAATTCTTCCCAATGTTGAATGGAACTTGGTTGTTGCTGACTTTGGCAATGTGGCTGCTTCTCTTTCCAGGAACCTCTCTGAACCTGTCATGACATACAAGCTTCACAGAGAATTGGTCTCGGCTGCCAGTAAGTCTCCAAGACGGGGGCGGAGAAGGCTGTTTTGAAGGGTTTCCTGAATTTGTTGTTTGTTTTCCTGATGGTGTGAAAAACACATTTCTGGAATGTTCAGTCTTTGTCAGATGCTGTGAACAAATGTAGTGCTGCTGCTCTCTTCAATAATACTGAGAGACTTTGGCTCAGAAAAAGCAGGAACAGCCTTTCCTATTAATTGTACCAAATGCCAAACCAGGATTTTCAAGCCACAGTCCATTAAAAAAGCTAAAAGTGGGTGCAGAGCTAAGTCATAATGGTTGGGTTTATACATCACTTGGACCAAAATAAACATCTACTTTATGGCTTAATGTGATGCATAAACTTTCTAGTTGCTTTTTTCTAGTGTAAGTATAAGTAGAATCTTTCCGATAAACAACAATTAATTGAGTCCTTTTATTTTTACATGGAACACGTATGCCCCACCCCAATATTGCTATGCAGTTTTGTTGCCATTGATGCTACATCATGGTTAAGTGTAAAGAATTCATGATTTCAAGTGAGTTTCTATAAGGGAACAACTGATTTGGTTTAAAGTGTAAGTAAACAAAATGCATAACCACAATTTACCATTAAAATAAATTGGCTTTCCTCTGCCTTGAGCTGTTTCTTTGTGTCTTGCCTCTCTTCAAAATGGTGCTCAAGGCAGTGACAAAAGTGAAATGGAAACACATATAATAAAACCTTAAAATGCCAACATAAAATAGACATGTAAGTTAATTAGTGGTTAAATCAGTAGAAGCGAGGGGCAGCGGTCTGTTTCAGAATATTGATGAGAAAATTAATGGGCCAAAACTGGAACGTCTCCAGAGGGGGAAGTTGCAGAGCCGGCCGGCTGTCTCCAAAAACCTGGGCGTTGGCTGCGCCTTCCGGGCAGATTTCTGGGGATGGGATGAGGAGGGAGGATTTCTCAACTGTAAATATTATTTCCCATGGTTGGCACAGACTTCAGGAAGGTGTCTTAAAGATTAATGTTAGAAATAAATATAAGACTCTTGGAAATTGCAAACTGTCTTTTTAACCCTCATTTGTTAATCAGTTAATTAAAGTGGACACTCTTGAATTGTTTCTTCCCTAGGTTTCTTGCCCCCATTTATAAGAGTATTTCATCTTGCCTTCCCATTACTCTCCTGGCCTTCTTGCAATGTCTGCTTTAACTCTGCAGTGGGAGGGATCTTAGGTGGAGAAATTGCAGTCCTGGGCATTTTCACTCTTACTTTTAAAAACGGAGCCTTTTCTGGAATGAACATGCTGACACTTGGAGACTGACAAAGCTATTTTCCAAATTGATAAATGGATCATTCTGAGCATTGTTAGAGCAGCTCAGATAATGCACCGTGAAATCTCCCAGCCAGTTTGACCATCCTCATTTGCATTGTGTCACCAGGCTGTAATCGAATACGTGGAGTGTGGTAATAACTAATCATGTTGCCTTGCTTGCCTGAGCTTCGGTGTTAATGAGCTCCCCAAGGCTTCCTGCCTCAGAGTTGCTCTTTTATGGAATTTTATTTCCCAATTTTCCTCTGATCCTTTAACTGTGGAGAATCTTTCTCCGCAGCTGGGGAGTTTGATACTCCGTGCTCCTTGAGAAGAGAGGGGCTCTCTTGGGTCACAAGGGCCTGGATGCCAGCCCAAGCCCCCACCTGATGGGCACCAAACATTGTTAATGTTTACATGGGGTTTGCTTTATATTCGTATAAAGTTATATTCGTATAGAATATTCGTATAGAGTTGTTTCCAATTGCAGCAGCATATAAATATGTTTATATAAATAAAATAATGCAATGAATGTTGGGGTGATGGACAGGAAGCAGCCATCACTCCAAGCCCTTCAGAATAAGGGCCCTTCTCCCCCCCTCCCCATCAGTGCTCCTTTCAGCCAGCTATCAGATGCTGCTCCTGTCCTCAAGCAAGGGACACTTGGGGTCTTGCTCTGCTTTCTGTTCTTCCAGGAACCACTTGAAGAAAGTAGATTTAGGAGCTGGAGGCATCTGGGGAGTGAAAATATTGCTGAGCTATCCAGAGTTTCTTTTAAAACTCATTTGGGAACCCATCTCCAGTAATTCAAATGGGTGCAAGCAGTGATGAACTCTTCACTGCAGGAGGGGAAGTTTCTGGGGTCTTTTAAGTGATACTGTTGCTGCCCTCTCGCAGAGCCTCCTCCTCAAAAAAAAAACCCCATCGCTTGATCCCACCTGGTTGGACAAGTTATGTCCAGTTTCTCTTCTTCCCCTCTTAGGGAAGGTGGTAGAAAAGCTGCTGGCCTGGCAGCTTCAGAGGGTCCTGGATGAAGCAGAGCATCTGCACCCCTTTCAGTCAGGATTCAGGGCATTGCTCTCACTTGCTGGTGATCTCTGGCGAGAGGGGGATGGGGGTAGCGCCACCATCTTCATTCCCTTGATCTCTCAGCGGCCTTTGATACCATCAACCATGGTATCCTTCTGGGCCAGCTGCAGGATTTGGGGCTGTGTTGGTTTGGCTCCTTTCCTCAAGGACGGTCCTAATCGGTGTTAATAGGGAGTGAGAGTTCCTGCCCACGGCCACTCCTTTGCCAAGTGCCACAGGGCTTGGTACTCTCTTCACTCCTTTTGAACATCTGCCTGAAGCTGCTGGGTGAGACCATTCGCCACCACTATGCTGATGGTTCTCAACTTGTTATCTGCACCCTGGTGATCCAAGTGATGTTGTTGCCGACCTCTCACGGAGCGCGGAGGCTGGATGGGGGACAACAGGCTTCGGCCGAACCCTGGCGAGACCAATGACTTTGGGTGCACACAGCTTCAAGATCTGGGACTTGAACATCCTTAGTTCTGGGTGGGGTGGCGTTGCCCCAGACACTTCCAGTCCGCAGCTTGGGGCCTCTCCTGGACTCAGGCCTCCTGTTCAAAGAGCAGGTGGTAACTGTGGCTAGGAGAGCCTTTGTACAACCTTTTTTCCCCCCCAAAAAAACAATTTTTATTAGTTTTGCATTTTACACCAACACAGCTTAAGAACCCACATGGAAACATGGTGATCCATTTTTTAAAAGACAAACAATAACATAGTAAATATATACCCATTATTTCTTAAAAATTTCCCTCTCTATATAGAATATTATAATCAAATTAATAATTTTCAAATAAATTCATTCATTACCATGTCTAACCATCAACTGCATTAATCAATAAAAAATTAATCTATAAAAACCTATATTTCTTCAAACATTTAAACTTAAGCTTAATAAACTCCATTCATTTAAAAACATTATAATCAAATCGATATCTTTCTAAAACCAGTTCATTCACTAATATAACATTTCATCCAAGTTATATAATTAAAGATAAACTAACATTCTCTATTTATATTATTATAGGCTCATTAAAACCTTTCTAAAGCAAATTTTCATTGCATATATCACTCTATATAAATTTCATTAATCAATAAAAGTTTACAAACTCATTATCCATCCCAAAGATCCTGTATCATGCTTTCTTAATTTTGCAAATATTTAATCTTAAACTAACATATTCATTTGCTATTCAGGTGCCCCAAGTGTTTTTTTATTTAAGCATTATTAACTCCAAAGAAAAATTCTTCTCTTTCTCACCAATCTTCTATTATTTTTCACTGTTTCTCCAAATCTCCAATAATTAATTCCATCATTTCCCATATTTCAGTTCTTTTCTCATTATATCATATAAAACCCTTTTAACAAAGTCCAAGACCAAATCAATCCAGGTCGCTATAAGGCCATTACCACGTTACTATAATCAGATTTAATATTTATATCTTATTCTGGGTTTCTTTCTAGTCCAAACAGGTTTCCATAATCGGACCTCTGCCTGCCATACTATACACTCCAAAAAGAAAGCTCCCATTGTGCATTTTGTTAAATTAATATAAAAGTTATAGTTAATCTGAATGACTCGTAGCAAAACATCATTTCCCCTTTCTTTTAACATTGAATAGATTTCACTTAAAGTCCTTTCTTTTATATCGTCCTCTTTGATCACATGTTTCTCTTCCCATGTTTTTTCTCTATCTCAAATTCAAATGGCATCTGCAGTCCAACTTGTCCTTCTGAAGCAAGATCGTCCAGTTTCTTATCATAAGTCCTTTGTCCGTTAATATCAACTCTTTTTTCCAAAATCAATTGATTGTCCAGTTGTGGGTTTGCTTCTTCCACCTCAATAAGCAGAACACAAGCCTCTTGTTTATAAACTGATGTTTCACTTAGTCCTTGTCTTTTGCCTTGTCGAAACAAAGAAATCTCCTTTGAGCAAGCAATTAATCTTCTCCATATTTTCCAAAATTTTGTCCAAAATATACTTATAAGTAAGATCTACACCAGTTTTCTCCATCTTTATTATCTTTTAAATCCTTATCCTTTTAAAGGAGACTATATTTAAAAAGAAATCACAATATCCATCTCCTCCCAGTTTCCTCGCCTTTTTCCTTTGTACAAAATGAAAGCCTTTCCAGCGAAGAAAAAATAGCAAGTACAATGAATAAATTTGTCAGAGAGTGTCCCCCGGAAAGTAATCAGATGTTCAATCCTTCCAGACACCATAAAGGTAAAAGCAAACAATATTCTCCAAATATTGTCTCGCATTTATGAGAATTATGAATCCAAGTGCTGGAGGTGGACAACAAGATGCAACTTTTTTTCACATGTGGTGGACTTGCAAGGTTATTAAAGCCTTCTGGATAAAATTATGGTGGAATTTACAACAAGTTTTTAAAAGAAGAATTTTTTTTTTGCCTCAGTTGTTTCTCCTAGGTATTACACATAATTTGGATGTAAAAGAAACGAATTTGATGTTGTATTGTTTAACTGCTGCCCGTTTGCTGATAGCTCAAAACTGGAAGANAGAGTCAAGTTTTACCTACAATAGAGGACTGGAGAGTGAAGGTTTCGCATCTTGCTGAAATGGCAAAGATTTCGGCTTATTTGAAGGATCACTCAAATGAACAATTTTTATCAATATGGAGAAGATGGATTGTTTATATTCAAAATAAGCATAGAATGGTGGAATATAGGTTAGGTTTTTAGATAAAAAAAAATTTTTTCTTTTTATATATACACATATATCTCACCTACTTATGTAGAATTATATTTTGTGGAGTTAGGGATATTAATATAAGGTTACTTTTAGATGAATAGTATCCTGGGATTAGGTTTGGGAAGTCCGGGTGGGGGGCGGGGGGGGGTTTTCAATTGTGATGTACTTGTGATGTGTTTTTTTTTTCTTATGTTGAAAATAATAAAAAAAAATTTTGAAAAAAAAATATTCTCCAAATATTATAAAAAACTTTCTTGAGGCTCCCAATATCCAAAAATAAAATCAACCATTAAAACAAAAATAAATTTAATCCTTTGTGTTTCTCTTCCCCCATTTAAAAAGCCGCTTCACCAGAAAAGGGAATAATTCCAAGGAAAAAAAGAACTTTTCACAGGCATAAAGAAAATAGAGGTGAAAGGAAAGTCTCACCGGGTTCTCCACGGTGGGTCCATTTGCTTAGCTCAGTGGTTCTCAACCTTTTTAATGCCGCGACCCCAACCGGTCGTAAGTCGAGGACTAAACTGGTCGTAAGTCGAGGACTACCCAACCGGTCGTAAGTCGAGGACTTTCCCTGCCCGGGAGCGCCACGCATGCGTGGTTCCGCCCCCTGCGCCGGTCAAGGCGTAGCTGGCAAGCGGCAGAGACGGAGCAGGCCAACCACCAGCTGGCCCAGCCCAAGGGAGGTAAGGCTCCCGCCGGAAAAGGGGGAAAAATGGCGGACAAAAAAAATGGCGGACAGCCTTGCTTGGCGACCCCCGTGAAATGGTCGATCGACCCCAAATGGGGTCCCGACCCACAGGTTGAGAACCACTGGCTTAGCTGATCCTGTGGCTTGCGGTTGGCGCAGCTAAATGATTGGCCATTTTACTGGCCGATCTTTACCCTGTCGGCCCAAAGGAGATACACGGTGCACAGAGGATGCCGCCGCTCCTCTGCAACTATCCGAGAAGCCTCCTCAACGGTAGATGCTCCTCCAGAGAGTCTTTTCGACCCTCTAAGGGGTCTACCGGCAGGGGAAACTGAATCGGCAAAGGGACGACTCCCTTTGCTCGACCGCACCGCCGTGAACCGGAACCGGAAGCCTGAGCCTTTGTACAACCTTGTCTCATGCACCAGCTGTGGCCTTTCCTGGATCAGGAGTCCCTGCACTCAGTCACTCAAGCCACAGTCATCTCACATTTGGACTGCTGCAATGCGCTCTACATGGGGCTACCCTTGAAGAGCATTCAGCTGGCACAGAGTGCGGTGGCCGGGCAGTTCTTAGGGCCCCTAGAGTGGCGCATGTTACCCCTTTGCTCCCTGAGCTGCACTGGTTGCCAGTTTGCTTCTGGCTGCATTTCAGGGTGTTAGTTATTATCTTCAAAGCCCTGCATGGCATGGGTCCAGGTCCCTGGTGGGACTGGCCCACCCAAGCCATGCTGGCCAAGGCGGCATACTGCGGATCCCGTCAGCTGGCGTGCTCCAGAGAAGAGCCTTCTCCGCCGTGGCTCCTGCTCCTCAAAACATCTCGTCCCCTGAGATGGACTCCCAGCTGCCTGATCTTCCGTAAGAGCCTGAGGACCCAGTTCTGCCTGATGGCTAGGGGGTCCCAGTGGGGCAGCTTCCTGCTGGAGATGGCTGATTGATTAAGAGCTAACACTACTTCCCCTCCTTCTCCATCTTGTGACAATGAGCTTCCTTTGTTTGTACTGCCGTTTTATTGGGTTGGAATATTTATACTTCATGGTTTTAATGTTTTTTATGTTGTAAACCACCCAGAGTTGCTTTGAAATGAGATAGGCAGCAAATAAATGTAATTTTAAAAAAATCCAAATCCAATTGGATTTGGATCTGGATCCAATTGAAGGTGTTGATCATCACCCTTAAAGCCTTTCATGGCACGGGACCAGGTTATCTAGGCACTGTCTCGCCACACTGGGACCGCCCCTCCCATCTGCACCGGCAGAAGGGGCTTTCTTGGGACCCCTCCAGCCAAAGAACTTTGGCTGGGGGAGTCAAGAAGAAGCACCTTCTCTGCCATGGCCCCCACCCTGTGGAACATCCTTTTCCATAGGTGAGATCTGCTTCCCCTCTAGGTTTTAACCTGTTATTTAATTTTAATGTTTTTATTCCTATATTTTTATTCTGTTGTAAGCCACCCAGAATTATCTGGTACAGCGAGATGAGCGGCATATAAATTTATGAAACAAACAATTAATTCCACCCTCTGGAACGAGCTGCCCCCAGAGATCCGGGTCATTCGCCTAGAGGGGAGGAAGGCGGCGCGGGAATTCTGGACCAACAAGGTCGCCCGTCCTGACCGGATCCCCATAAAATTTAACCAAAATCGGTTTAAAATCATCATCGCCGGCTAATATATAAATAAAAATTACTAAAAAATTTTAAAGATAACATAACTATTAAATTGTTTTTAACTGGCTGTAAGCCGCCCTGAGTCCTATGGGAGAAGGGCGGGGTATAAATTTAATAAAATGAAAAAAAAATAAAATGAAAAAATGAAAAGGCTTCTAAAACGGCATCTAGTCCAACTATACTGGACCCATTTCCACGTTTCCTCTAGTGCCCCTCCCTTTCAGCATACAGTGCCTCATTGCAGTTACTGTACATAACTTCCCAGATTTGTTATAAAAAGGTAAGTGGCACAAAGTTAGGAAGGATTCGAACCTGAGCCTGGTGAAATTGCCCTCCAGGCAAGGAAGGAAGCCCCCATGGACCTGATTATTTTTTTCTTTTTCACCTGCAGAGTCTGAGAACCTGGATTACCGGCTGGGAGCCATTCATGCCCTGATTTATAAACTCCCTGACAGGAACCGAGAAATGTCTGAGCTCCTCATCAGGCATCTGGTCCAGTAAGTGGAGGCTGATCTGAAACCCGAGCAAAGGGTCCCTATTGAGCTTTGGCCTCATTTTGGGGGGTTGGGGTGGGGATTGGGGTGGGGAGGAAGTGGAGTAGGGGCCAAGGATGTCCAAGCCACTTGAGTGGTGAGTATACTCAGTAGCTGTTCCAGAAATGAGCAGGCGTGACACGGCTTCCTTGTTTTCCAGCAGAGAAAGATAAAGTACGTTGGAATTAGGGATGAAGTAAACACATTTCCATTTGGGGGCTCAAAAGAGTGCCTTTTTTTTGGCACTAGTGATATTTGTAGAGGTGGTTGTTGTTCAGTCGCTAAGTTGTGTCTGGCTCTTTGCGACCCCATGGACCCTAGCAAGCCATGCTCCCCTGTCTCCCGGAATTACTTGTGGAGCCCCCCCCCCCTTTCGTGGGGTTGGTTTTTTTATGCTTTGTTTGATGCCTGGGAGGGTGGCCTCTGTTTGGACCGCGCTCTCCTTCCTGATTCACTTTCTTCCCGAGAGGAGTCATTTCCACCAGCCGGGTCACCAGGGCTGGGGATGCTGGGCATTATAATCCAACATGGCATAGGATTTCCACGGCAGGTCAGATTAGGTTGTACAGTCCAAGAAGAACATCAAATGGGCAAATTGTATCTGAAATACAATTATAGAAAATGCAGAAAAGTTTTATATGAATGACAGCAGGGCACTGTGGCTTATTAGAAGAAACAGTTGTTTCTTCTCAGAGATACAGTTCAGGTAGATGCATATTTTACCTATTTAAAAAAGCTAACAAGTTGCCAACGCTGAGATGCCAGCCATTTCCAAGCAGCTGGAAGCCCTTACTACAAGCAGTTCTCAAGTTACAGCTACAATTCAACCTTAACCTCGAGTCATTGAGTGAAGCAAGACATCATATAGCTGCCCACGTAGTTGCTTTCCTCAACTACTGCAATCCTGGCATTCCCAGTTGCGGTCATTAAGCAGACAGAATCCCAGGAAATGAGTGTGGGGTGCCTTGGGGGTTGGTGGAGAATCTGGGAGGCTTTGCTCAGAAGCTGAAAATAGCCTCTGTTGAAATCCAGGCAGAATTTTCAGCCCCTGAGAAATAGAGAGGTCTGGCCTGTGCTGGGCCTTCCAGTGCCATTCCCCCACCTGCCTGAGGCACCCACACTCCTCCCCTTATTGTGCTCCCTCTCCACTCTGCTGGGATTTCAGCTCCTGCATCTTTCTGGGCTGCTTGAAAAAGCTGCCTGCCAAAGGATGTCAGCTCCCCTTTCTGCGGGGAAGGAGCGCTTTCAGCAGGGTCCAGAAACGATGCTCAAATCATCAGGATCTGAGCATCCTACTGAAGTTCAGCTCCCCTCGGTAGGCAGCTCTTCCAGCCAGCTCCCAGCAAGACGCTGACCAGATATGGACCTGAGTCATTCTCTTCAGGCCGTGCTTGAGCTGAAATTAATCTGCATCCTTAATTGGCTCTGGCCATTGATTCCTCCCTAAATCTTGCCTAAGGAAGGTCAAAGGAAGGGGGAGAAGTCCTGAACTCTTTGTCGAGAAAAGATCACAAGGACATCTCAGCCCAAGAGTGACATGGCTTGGCAAAGATTAGTCCAAAAATGTATCTCTATTCCATCTTACCCACTAAAAGATCCAGCCCTTGGACTGAGGAACATTGCCATCTTCGGTCAACCATGTCCATCCTCTGTCTCTCATGGTCCTTGCATATCGAAGATATGCAGCATGGTTTAATCATGATTCTTTAAAACAGAATAACAGAAATAGAAGGAACCGTGGAGGACTTCTAGTCCAACCCCCTACCCAAACAGGAGAATCTGTATCATTCCAGACAAGTGGCTGTCCAGTCTCTTCTTGAGTCTTCAGTGATGGAGCACCCACAACTTTTGAAGGCGAACTGTTCCACTGCTTAATTGTTCTCATTGTCAGGAAATTTCTCTCTAGTTCTAGGTTGCTTCTGTCCTTGATTAGTTTCCATCCATTGTTTCTTGTTTTGCCTTTTGGTACTTTGGAGAATAGGGTGATCCCCTCAATTTTGTGGCAGCCCCTCAAATATTGGAAGGCAGCTATCATGTCATCCTTTGTCCCTCTTTTCACTAGACTAGACATATCCAATTCGTGCAACTGTTCTTCATATGTTTTAGCCCCCAGCCCCCTAATTATTCTTTTTGCTCTTCTCTGGACTCTTTCCAGAGTCTCAACATCTTTTTTTATATTGTGGTGACCAAAATTGGATGCAGTATTCCAGGTGTAGTCTTACTAAGGCTTTATAAACGGTACTAACACTTCACCTGATCTTGATTCTATCCCTCTGTTAATGCAGCCTAGGACTGCATTGACTTTTTTGGTGGCTGCAGCACATGGTAGGCTCATATTTAAGTGATTGTCCTCTAGGACTCCTAAGATCCCCCTCACAGTTACTGCTATTGAGCCAGGTTTCATCTAAACTGTGCCTGTACATTTGGTGTTGACTATTCCTATCAGGTTAGTGTTGTCTGAAAATTTGATGAATTCCCTATCTATCCCCTCATCTAAATTGTTTATGAAGATATTGAAGAGTCCAGGGTCTAAAACAGAACCTTTGGGGTGTCTCCTTCCTTCCTTCCTTCCTTCCTTCCTTCCTTCCTTCCTTCCTTCCTTCCTTCCTTCCTTCCTTCCTTCCTTCCCTCCTTCCATCCATCCATCCATCCATCCATATAGATGTAGTTCCATTAATGACTACATGTTGAGTGCATTTTGTTAGCTAGTTACAAATCCATCTGGTGATGATGCTGTCTAGTAGGCTCACACCTACTGCTTCAGTGATTCCATCCAGCCACCTCATTCTCTGTCATCCCCTTCTTCTATTGTCCTCCATCTTTCCCAGCATCAGGCTCTTCTCCAGTGAGTCCTTCCTTCTCATTAGATGGCCAAAGTACTTGAGTTTCAACTTCAGAATCTGGCCTTCTAAAGAGCAGTCAGGGTTGATCTCCTCTAGGACTGACCAGTTTGATCGCCTTGCAGTCCAGGGGACTCACAGGAGTCTTCTCCAGCACCATAGTTGAAAGGCCTCAATTCTTTTGCTCTCAGCCTTATGGTCCAACTTTCACAGCCATACATTGCAACTGGGAAAACCATGGCCTTGATTATACACACTTTTGTTGGCAGGGTGATGTCTCTGCTTTTTAGTATGCTGTCTAGATTTGCCATAGCTCCCCCCCCCCAGGGGCAAGCGTCTTTTAATTTCTTGGCTGCAGTCCCCATCTGAGGTGATCTTGGAGCCCAGGAAGATAAAATCTGTCAGTACCTCCATTTCTTCCCCATCTATTTGCCAGGAATTGAGCGGGCCGGATGCCATGATCTTGGTTTTCTTAATGTTGAGTTTCAAACCAACTTTTGCACTCTCCTTCTTCACCCGCATCAAGAGGCTCTTTAGTTCCTCTTCACTTTCTGCCATTAGAGTGGTATCATCTGCATACTGTATCTTAGGTTGTTGATATTTCTCCCGGCAATCTTAATTCCAACTTTTGATTCATCTAGCCCTGCCTTTCTCATGATGTGCTCTGCATATAAATTAAATAGGCAGGGCGACAGAATACAGCCTTGCCAGACTCCTTTCCCAATTTTGAATCAATCATTGGTTCTGTGTCCAGTTCTCACTATTGCTTCAGTGAGTCAAATGCTTTACTGAAATTCAAATATACTATGTCCACAGCATTCTCTGGTCCATTATTTTTTTGCTCATCCACTTTGTCAAAGAATGAAACAAAATTTGTTTGTCATGATCTGTTTTTGACAAACACATGTTGGCTTCTGGTTATAAGTTTGCTCGCAGGTCTATTGTTTGATTATCTGTTCCAGGATCTTTCCAGGTATTGATGTCAGGCTGATTGGTCAGTAATTTCCTGGATCTGTTTTTTTTCTCTCTCTCTTTTTTGAAGATGGAACCAATCTTTTGAAGAAGGAATCACAGTTGGCTTGGTTCTCTCATAACATTAAGCAGTAAATCATGGTTAGGATTTACATGGTCTGACTCCTTGCATTTGGCTCAGCCAAAACCCAGCAAATTACATGCAATCCTAGCTATTTTCCAACTGCCCATAGGACAGCTTTAGAAGACGTCTTCTGGAAAACAAAATTGCCAATCTGTTTAGCCAAGATTTCTTTCAGGGGTTTCTTTTCCAACCTAGTTTCTTTTGGCTCTCCCTGTATGTGTCTCTTCTGCTGAATTCAGGAAGGGAAGTCCAGCCCTTGTCTCTAACCCTCTGGAGTTCTGTGATTGCTCAGCAATTAGCGGCTCTGGTTTCTTCAGGGCAAGCTAGTCTTGGAGCCTGTGCAGGATTTCCATTTGGCACTCCTTCTCCCCTCTTGGGAAATGGTGCTGATCTTCTGTTGTGCCGTGTGGCTGTGCTTTGCATCGCGTGGCTTTCTTGCTTTCATCAAGGTGGGGAGTAATGTGAGATTGAAGGCTCACATGGGCAAAAGGAATTATTCAGAAGCTGTGACTTTATGCCACGCCTCATCCCAGCCTACCTGGGATAAACATCTGCAACAGACGAGGTTGTTGTAATTCTAGAAAACCTAGATCCAACTAAATGGCTTATCCGAAATAGAACCAGCTAATACTTGGGTGGGAGACTACCAGGAAACTCTGCCTGTGTGAGTTGGATGGGAAATCAGAAGAAGCACTCCAGAAGAAGCAGGGACAAAGCGCTTCCGTATTCTTGCTAGTTTTCCGTATGATGCGTAGGCAGAGAAGGGGTCTTAGAAGCAGCCCACTCCAGCACCACCAGATGGACTGCCGTCTGAGCAGGCAAGATGGTAGGGCAAAATGGTAAACGACAACACTGCTGCTATCACTCTCTGGAGAGGAGGCAATGGAATTACCACCCTCTTCCAATGCCAGAGCTTGGCTAAGAGAGTGGAGCTGAGGCGCTCTGTAAGACTCGCACCTCCACATGAACCACACTGGGGCTGTCTTATTAAAAGGGAGCTGCCAGCACCGGCTCTATGTTGGCAGCAGGAGCTCATTAACCCCCACTCCACATGCCTTGACTTGTGAACTTCGCAACTCTGACTTTGAACCTGGACTGGCTGATGAATCTGCTACGAGCTTCAACCCTCAGATTCCACCTGAGTTCTCGCCTGCATGTGTCAGGCCTGCCCCAGTCTGATCCCTTAGGGAAGTAAAACTCTCGGCTCCATTTGATTGAAGTGAAAAGGCACTTTTACTAAGAGATGCTGACTGCAGTAAAGTCAAGCTGAATCTAAAGTTCCTGCATGCCAATACAGGACTAAACCCCTGGTTTCCCCTACCTCTCCCACTGTGATCCATCTGTGCATAGCCAATCCAGCACCACCAAAATGTTATGGGAAATGCTGGTGAAATTCCACTCTCGGGCAAGCGGCCTTGAAGGATGCCAGGGCGCCAGCGCAAATCGCCTCTGTTCTTCCTCAACTGTCAGTTCCACCGCCCAATAGCCCGCCATAAAGGTATACAGCAAATTGCCCATTTGTCCCCCCCTCCCCATTGATGAGAGAATGCCGGCAAAGTGCCAAGCCAAACTGGGGGGGGGGGGATCTGACCTCAGGCTGCTTTGATTGGAAACTGTTGTAAACCAAACTTGCTGACATTTGGGGGTAAACATGTCTCTAGACTTCAAGTGTGAGTGCCTGCAAGCCTCATTTATTAAAGAGAACAAAACTGTCGTATGTTTATTTGTATGTGCTTGGCTTGGCGCTAGGCAGAAATGGCCCAGATGTGTCTTTGTAGCCAGCCTGGATCTATCACGTGAGATAGCAGATTTTGTTAAAATATGCCCCATTTCTCAAATTCAGGAGAATTTCATCTTTAGCTTGATTTAATGTGCTCCCCACAGCTGTCCTGAAAGGGAAATACAGAAAAACCCCACATGAAACCCGATGCTGCCCTTGTGATATGGGTGCCATAGAAACCACAGCCCGTGTTCTTCTCTACTGCCAGTACTACAGGGACATTCTCCCCCAGTTGATTCTCCCTCTTTTATTTAAATCTCCGGGGCATTCTGATAGTTTTTATCTACGCTGTTAAATAATCAAGAAAAAAGTATTTGTCTAAAAGCAGCAAAACGTTTGCTATATTATGTGTAAGCTTCACCCACAAATCATTGTCAATAGTTCTTATTGCTCAGGGATAGTTTTGTGTTGTTCATTGTATTGATTGTATTTTTATTGGCCAACAATTGAAATAAAGTTCTTTGTCTGTCTGCCCTGATTCTCTTTCTAGCTTTATTTGCAAAGCATTTTGTAAATAGTCTTGTTTCAGAAAGAAGTCATGTTTTGAATTTAAGGGGACCAGAAAGACCACAGAAGGGGAAAGGATGGGTGCTCCCCTCTCAAGGTCTTCTTGATGCTCAATTTGCTCACTGCCATTTTACTTCCTTTTTTTGCATGCACACACTCATGCACATACACACACAGAAATGTGGCTACTTTTCTCAAATAAGAGGGAATGTTTTCTGTCCCAGATCAATGGAGCCTTAATGACATAGATCATTCAAAATATTTGTGTGTTTATACATGACCAGATTGTGACGCTGCTGAAAGAGTGAGTTGGGACCCTCAGTGGACACCCTCCCAGGCACGACAAGAGTGCTTTTGCTCTGAGTAAACATTTGTGCTTACCGTTGGCTTCAGCTGCAGTGGACAACGTTTCCTGTTTGCATATACTTATATGGAAGAAATTAAAATGGCTGAATTCATTCCCCCTGGACAAAATTGAGTGGTGGTCTAAGATCCAGCCAGGCCCTGCTGACTCGGGAGGTGTTTGTTCTCTCCTGGGCCCACCAAGCCAGCTGTGTCAGAAGAGGAGCTCTGCCTCCGTCTTCTGTCAGCTGGCCAGGGCAGCTGGGAGACCCGGCCTCTGGCATTTCCTTGGTCCTGACTTTGCATCATCTTACATTTGTAGGGGGCAGTTCCAGGTCCTCCTTCAAGGCCCATGGAGTTCCCCATCTGCCTGCTCTCTGTCTCTTGTGGCCTTCCCTTTGCTGAACCCCCCTCTGTTTTTTCTCCTTCTCCTGACAGTGTGTGTGAGCACAGCCGGGAGAATCTCATGTCCCCCTCCAACATGGGGGTGATCTTTGGCCCCACCCTCATGCGTGCACAAGAGGACACGGTTGCAGCAATGATGAATATTAAGTTCCAGAACATCGTGGTGGAGATTCTCATCGAGCACTTTAACAAGGTACACAGGAGCTCCTGGCTGGCTTTTCCCAGACGGCTTTTCAGTGATGCTTGCAGGGCCTCCCCAAAACATAAACAGAATTAGGAAAAGGCAAATAAACCACGGGAAATGTGACTGACTGAGCTAGCAGAGACGGTTCCAGAGCCAGAGGGGAGCCAGCTGCATTTGGGGAAGGGAGAGGTGGCCAGCAGACCCAACTGGAAAGAAAGTTGGGTGAAGACCAGGAGGCTGGAGGCAGGGCTTGGTTCATGGAGAAACTGGGCCACTCCTTTTGGGCAAGCAGGGTCAGCCTTGCCAGAACACCTGCATGATGCATCGAGAAGCTGTCTAAAAAATAGATTTCTTTCAAAAGGAAAGACCAGGGGTGATTTTGGCCTTTCTTATATTTCTATTTTATGCAAGAGTAGTTGCATGTTGCCTTGCAGGTGTTTCCGGTGCACTTGGCGAATGCAACTGCCACTGGGAGTGCTGGGAATGCAGCCACGGAGCTGGGCCTTTGCTCTGGCTGAACCAGCGGAATCCGATCCACTTGGGGACTCCTCTGCAAGCAGTGATGGGGGTTTTTTTTTCTTCTCAAAATGGCATTCAAATATGACCATACCTTGTTTGTAGTGTGTGTGTTTTCAGCCCATCAATCCCCCTTTTAAACTGGTTTTAATCAATTTCCTACTGAAAACTGCTGGAATACAGTTTATTTTTAGCACCTCAACAGGGTGCTTTCAGGAGACTTTCTGGGGTGGGCGGCCAAGGCCCCCCAGGATCCTCCACCTTGTTTGGAGGCTTCAGGCTTGGATCAGGGAGCAAAAGCCTTTCTCTTGCCCATAACTTCTCTGGGTGTTTCCTCGCAAGGCCTCTGGCTTCCCATTCCTGGCCTCGCGTTTCACGAGTGTCAAGCTTTTACAATTAAAACCATGGAACAATATTCTCCTATTCAGAACCAGGCTGACTTACAATTTGATGAAACCTTTATTTTGTCTTAGTTAAATTGCATAGTTTTATTAATACTAGAAAGCATAATACGATAAGACTGTAGGGTTTAATAGATAATTATGACAATTATCTATGTAATCATTACGTTGTTTTAATTTTCTAACCATAAAAAAGTCTGGCGATTATGGTATAAAACATCTTTTTTTTTTCAAATGAGGAGATTTCCTGATTTGCTTATAAGAGAATACAATATAGCAGTGGTGGCAAACCTATGGCACGGGTGCCAGAGGCGGCACTCAGAGCCCTCTCTGTGGGCACGCGCGATGTCACCCCAGTCCTAGGCCTTCAGCTGGGTTTTATAAAAACTTTTCACTTTAGGCCTCCGCCGCCGTGTGCAAAAAAAAAAAAGGGTTCAATCAGTCAATTTCAACTTCTCGCGGAAAAAAAAAAGATCTTCCAAAGTTGAAATTGATTGATTGAACTTTTTAGTTCCACCCAATCTGCCGTTACCACCGCAGCCATGCCCATCCAATGGGCCACACCCACCCAATTGGCCACACCCAGCCAATGGGCCACACCCACCCGGCATTCGACGATGCTTAAGTGGGTTTTGGGTTGCAGTTTGGGCACTCAGTCTCTAAAAGGTTCGCCATCACTGCAATATAGTATTACGAGTTTGAGTTTTCCAAAGATTAATTGGCTGAATGCCCATGCAATGAATGTGAAAGCAAAACCAAAGTTTACCCAGATGGACATGAGGGACATGTGAGCTACTTTAGATTCACATGTCTTGAAACCGGGTGGCTTCCGCTCCCTAAATCCCCATGCCAGGCCAAGGTCATAGTTGTTTTAATATGATCCTAATGAGACTGGCTTTAACTATTTCCTTCCACGATTTCAGCTTCAAATCATTCTCTTTCTTCTCCCTTCTCTTGGGTACTTTCAACAATATGTCCAGAGATTTAAGAAAATTAGCCACAGTTTTGTTCCCATTTGATTGGCTCTAACAAAGAACCTCCCCAAGCATATGGATATTTTCCTACAGATCAGCACATCTATTCTGTTTCACTTCTGGTTCTTCATTTAAAAGTGTCTGTTGCTATCAAAAACAGGAAACTTGATTTGTATTATTTCTAATTCAAAACTAGTCATTTATTTGAGATGTTTGGACTTCTGAAAATATGAAACGAGGAGGAGACCAGCAGCTGGTCTGCTGAGACTGCCAGTTGCAATCTTGGCTTTATAGCTGCAACTGGAAGTTGTTGATGGGATGCAAGGACCATCAACAGAGTTCAAGGCCGAGCTGCCTTTCAGTTAAGCAAGGGTGACCCAATTTTCCACTGAAATAAAGTAACTCCGAAACAGCTACAATAGCTGAACGCTTTGTTTTCAGATAAGAGGACCAAGCTTTGGCTTCAGAAAGGTTTTCCATGATTTCTCTGTGTCTAAAGTTTCACAGGAGATTCGAGCCAGCAGAGGGAGAAGAAAATTGTCTGTCTGCTGCTCACTCTGATCTCCAGAGTGAAGTCTCTTAATTAAAAAAGAGACTGTGTCTTTTTGGCCTTCAATTTCTGCTATGATAAGGTTAAGCTAGTAACATTTTATTAGGCTGGGTGATTGTTAAATGTAGTTCTGAAGTTGATGTTTCAGTCTGCACATAAGCAAACATTCCAAATGAATTTTTAAGCAGGGATGGTATATAATTTGTATGTGAATTATGAAGACTCAGAGGACGGAGGAAAATGTTCACTGGTATGGATAATTATTGCTCTGGCAGATTTAAACATGTACGCTAAAATTAAAATTAAAAAGCTAATCCCACAGGAAACAGTATGTGGTGTTACACAGTCCTTGCCCTGGAAAGTGGAGATTAGATCAATATCACCTCTCTTATGAAGCATATAAATATAATTTTTAATATAAATATGACTTTGTGGTGCAAATTCAAAGTGCCTTTGTCTGGGGGTGGGGTGGGGGTCACTTGAATGATTGCCCCCTTGTCAGTCTGGATTTCAAGCTGGAAAAGTCTTTGTGATCTTGGTCGTTTGGATTCTCATTGGTATCCAGGGAAGCACATTCTTTGTAAGAAACACATTAGAATTCTGTCTATGGATTGCATGAATTTTGCTCCAAGAAACAGGGAATATTTTGGTTTGATAAATGGCACTATTTCTTGCACATCCTGTTGATCTCCATTTTTCTACATAATATTGTATTTTTGGAGCCCAATTAGTATGAAATCTATCCATGTATACATGCACAGATTTAGAGACTGTTACATTTATTATCAGTACTGCAGTATTTAAAGATTTGGGCTGAAGGGGATCTGAAATAACAGTAACAGAAACATATGGCATTGTTTCAAATGTTGATTCAGCGGTTATGCAAATCCATCTCAATTTGTGTTGCTGCCTCGTTCTTTAAGAAATTAAGGGGTTGGTGGGACTCTGCATTTCCCTCTTCCCAATGTGTGTTAGGGTTCGGTCATTTAAATCACAGCTCCCTATTATGTCTGAATCAGATAACTGTGAGAAAATATTATTGTCCATCTGACACCTCTGATTTGCAAGCTGCAGTGGTTTCCAGTTTGTTTCCTAATGTGAGTCAAGGTGCTAATAACCGTCCAAAGCCCTGCATGGTTTCTGACCCGCTGGGACCAGACCTGGCTCCCTTCCAGGAAGGCATGTCATCTGTTGGGACCCAGGAAGCTCCCCTTCTGCCGCAGTGCCTGCCCTCTGGCATGGGGTCCCCCCTGAAACCCAGACAGTTCTGGTCCTGAGGGCGTTCCAGAGACCCTAAAGGCCTGCCTGTTCTGCCAGGCCTGGGGCTAGGCTGGATGGGGCTTGCTCACTGAACATTCAATCTTGGTTGGAAGTTCTCAGTAATTGTTCTTCCTTCTTTTTCTTCTCTTCTAGTGTGGTTTTGTTGGTTGCTGTATTATGCTATTATTATAGTCCGGTGTATTGAGGGGTACTCCGGGTTGTTTGGAATCAAGCAGCATTGAATCAAATAGTGTAAATACATGATGAATAAGTTGTAGTGTTCCTATTGGGTGTTATATAAAGAGGAAGGAGAGGTAGGAAGTAAATCGTGTAAAAGAGGGGCTTTCTTCAGCTATCTAATCATTCAGTTGCAGTGGCTTTGTAGATATTTTATTCTTTTTGCGAGTCAAAAAGTGTGTGATTTCTGTCCTGGATGCAGCACTCCTGGTGTCAGACCCCATTCGAGATTTAGCAGCTGCTTTGATATACTTGGATTTGGTGGCCTGAAATTCTAAGCAAATGAAATTTGGGCGGTATTAATAAAATGCTCTGGCTGCCCAGTAATTCTGAAAGCAAACTTTGTGTTGTTGCCAGATATGGAAGGTATTTTATTTTGGCTGGAGAAACGGGTGAAAGAGCCGACCCCAAAATCTGTGTTGACAGCTTGTACGTATCCATTGCAGTCTTGGACACCAAAGTGACAGTCAAGAGGGGGCAGGATGGCTACAGCGAGTCTTCGCTTAATGGATGGCGTGAGGGCCCCCGTGTCTTTATGATCCAGATGCCTCATCCTTAAAACGGCCCTCAAAAGTGAGAACATATTTGCCATCTGTCATCACTTCTGGATATTCTGGCAGGCCATCCTGATCCATGGAAAAAATGAGTGGCATTCGTTTGGTCTGGTCTGGTTCCATGGATTGTCACTCGGTGGTCTCTTTTTTCAAAAAATGGAGGATGAACTAATTGATTCTCTGTTAAAAGTTGCCTGACGACCACCCTCAGTACCTGAAGAAAAGTTCTTGTCAGCTGCTTCTACTTGGCAGGGGCAACTAGGCTGTAAAGGTTTGAGGAAGAACCCTCGCCCTATCCAGCCAGATCATTTCAGAAAAACTACCGGTCATCATGCCTTTATGATTAAAGATAGCTGAATGAAGTAACTGTCCAGAAGTAACCAGCACAGGCCATTTTTCTGTTACTAGAGACCCCTCTTCTTTGTGTCCAAGAGCTTCCCAGAGATCCAAGGGCATCTTGACATGTGAAGAAAAGGAGGAATGAAAGATGCAGGAAGTCCTCGACAGAACTCCACATTTGTTAAGTCACTGAAACACGTAGAAGATTCATTCCTCCAGGAATCTCGGTTTATTGTTTCCATTGGGGATGGTAAAAGCAGGGCTTTTTTTCTCATGGAACGCCCAGAACGGAGTTCCGGCACCTTTTTTGGATGGAAGCTTGTAGGGTAGGCAAGGTGGGTTGTATGACGTGTGTGAGTTCTGGCACCTTTTTTTTTTTTTTTAAGAAAAAAAGCACTGGGTAAAAGTAATAAAATCATAGAATCCTAGCATTGGAAGGGACCTTGAGGTCTTCTAGTCCAACTCCCTGCCCATGGCAGGAAACCTTATATACATCTTCAGCAAATGGTTGTCCAGTCTTTTCTTGAAAACCACCAGCAATGGAGCACCTACAACTCCAGGAGGCATTGGTTAATTGTTCTCACTATCAGAATAACAAGAGATGGAGGTCTTTTAGGTTGGCTTTTCCTCTGATAGCTTCCACACACTGCTTCTTGTCCTAACTTCAGGTGCTTTGGAGAATTGAGTAAACCACCATCTCTTTATGGCAACCCCTCATGTACTGGAGGACAGCTATCATTTCACTCCCTAATTCTTCTTTTTCTTAGGCTAGACATACTAAATTCCTTTAACTTTTCCTTAAGTGTATTTTTTTTTTATTGTAGTGACTAGAATGAGCGCAGTATTCCAAGTGTGGCCTCACTAGTGGGATATAAAGTGGTACTATCACTTCTTGTGATCTTGATGTTATCTGTATAGTGATGCAGCAGAGGATAGCACTGGCTTTTTTGGCAACTGCTGCACCCTGCTGGCTCATACTTAAGTGGTTGTCCACTAGGATTCCAAGATCCCTCTCACAGTTAATATTGTTGAGCCAGGTGAGGCCTATTCTGTACCTGTGGATTTGGCAGTTTTTGACTAAGTTTGTAACCTTACCTTTCTCATTACTGAACTGTATCTTGCTGGATAGGGTCCAATACTCAATCTGTCAAGATCCTTCTGGATCTTGAGCCTATCTTCTAAATGTTGGCTATTTCCCCCAGCTTGATGTCACCTGCAAATTTAATGAGTTCCCCTTCTACCCTCTCATCTAAATCATTTATGAAGATGTTAAGGAATACTGGGCCTAAGACATAAACTTGGGGTACCCTACTGCGTGCTTCCTACACGTAGATGTTGTTCTCTTGAAGACTACACACTGGGTATGGTTGGTCAGTCAGTTAGAAATCCATCTAATGGTGATGCTGTTTATTCCACATTGTTATTGTATAGAATAAGTGTTCTGTACCAATCAGGAGTAGCTCTGCTGAAAGTCACAAACATATGTATTTAACTAATGTGACTGGACCACAAACTCTTGCAAACTGTTTTGGAAAAAATCTTAGTTTGGAGAAATTAAAGCAGAAGACGCCATATTTCTTTCTGTGAAAGAAGATTTTAAAAATCATCACATCACGTTTACACAATATATTTTTCACTTCTCCAGTTTAAATTAGAGCAGAATGTGGTGGAAGTTTTGTCTCTTTCTTTTACTGAAAGGTCAGATAAGTTCCTGGGTACCATTTTATTTGTTTTAAGACAAATTGAAAGTTGGCTGACAAAACTAAGTAATGTGGTATTGCAAAAGTCTTACTAATTTGGAACAAAATTTTAATGTCATTTTAATGCATTTTCCAGAGTATGGCTATTTTTAAATGTATCAACAAACCATCCAACAATACCTTTCTATCCTAGTTTGTGAGGTCACATTTTGAGGGAAATGGCAAACGTGGACTGCCACATTCCAGAATCTTCTTCCTCTTCTGCAGAACCAAAAGAAAGTATGGAAACCAACCAAAACGTTTAATGCGTATAATGCCAAACTAGGGGAGCCATGGGGGGGGGGGAACCGTCAGAGCATCCGAAACCAGGAGCTGGTGAGCTCTAATCCTGCCTTAGGCCCAAAGCCAGCTGGGAGACCTTGGACCAGCTACTCTCTCAGCCCTAGCGAGGAGAAGGCAATGGCAAACCACTTCGGGAATCTTGCCAAGAAAACTGCAGGGACTTGTTGCACTTACTTAAAGGAACCAAACTAAAAAGAAAAATGCCACACTAAAGACTCCCCTCAACATTGTGATTAAAGACACCAGACTGGAAGCAGGAGACCAGGTAGTCAAGTCTTGCTTAAGCCCAAAACCTAATGGATGACTTTGGACCAGTCCCTCTCTTTCAGCCCTCGGAGGGGGGGGGGGAGGTCTGTACAAAAACTGCTGGGAAAATTGCATGGACTTGTCTAGACAGTTGTCAGAAATCAATACTGACTCAGAAGCAGAAGATGAGGAGAGGGAGGGAGGAGCAAACTGAGATTTGATGTTCTGCCTGAATATCAAATATATAAAAGGATTTAAATACTGGAAAAAAGTAAACAAAAATATACCAATTACAAATGCTGCTTTCTGCAAATAAAAGTGTTTCTCAAGTGTTTTTTAATGTTCAGCATAACTTCATCAGACTTGATAGATCTGCAGAGTGCTAGTAATGTATAATTAAAAGATTTTGTTGACAGCCATTTTAGCTTGTCACTTCAAGAATAATAAATGTACTTGTTGTGTTATTTAACAACAATTTGCAGTCTTTTTTGTTATTACAAAGGCTGTGATTTCAAGGAGACATGTGAGAGGCCAGCTGACAAAGACCCCAACCCCTTTCCTAAAAAGAAGGGCAAAAAGGAATTTGATTCTACCTGGCTTGGAGTTCCAAAGTGCTGCCTGCATCTCTTTTCCCCCGACTGGGTTGCAGTGTCACTAACAGCTGTGTAATGTGGCAGAAGTTCAGCAGGTGAAATTGTTCTCATCCTGAGATGGCTCTGCAGCTCTTGCAGCAATTTTGCTCTCCCTTCTGACGGCTGGGGACAGAGGGAGGCAGGAGCTCTCGGGCACACCTGACTGCAACAGGATCCCTGCCTTTTTTTCCTGCAACCACCGAATCATACTTCACAATCATAGAGTTGGAAGGGCCCTCTAATCTAACCTTCTGCAATCAGCTCAGGGACAGTGCCTTCCAAATGCATTGGAGCTCAAGTTCCATAATCCTCAGATGCTTTGTTAATTATGATGTGTGGGGAGCACAGGAGCTGAAGATCAACATTCTTGATAGCACTAAATTGGGGAAGACTGTTCTAAACCACTGAAGCTTGGCTTTAACAAACCTGGTGGGCAGTCCCCGAGACAGGAGATTGCTTACTTTCCTTGAAGAAGGCTCCAAACTGAGCTCCAGGAGATGGACTGGGCGGCAGTCAAAGGGGAAGACTTATGTTCCATCCAAAGAGGCAGCTCAGAAGGTTTAAGACAGCTTCCCAAATTGCTAACTCTCAGTTCTGAATTCAGTTCTTTCACAGTCAGAGTTGTAACATAACTTATATATAGTCTTGATTCTCAAGCTCATAATGGATTGTGGAATTCATCCCAAGAATCAAAAGAGAATTTCTGTGCAAAGTCATTTACCCAACATTAACTAGTATGGTTTGAATTTGTGGCTTCCAGTTGGAAGGTGTTGGCGAAGACTAGTGGAGTTTGCCACTACAAAGTAAGAAGTTGGACAGTGATATTACTGTGGATATTTATGAAATCAAGCCTCAGGTGGGGAAAGTGGTAGAAGTTTCATGCCTCTTGTGATATTAGGACTCCAGTATTCCTTCTCACAATAAAAAAATTAAAGAACTCCAATTGCAAGAAATGCTGCTGATTAAGATGGCTTTAAAGGGAGATTAAGGGCATTTGTGAGGGGTACCCCAAAGGTGCTTTTTCAGGAGGCAACTGTTTTTCTTTGAAGATGTTTCACTTCTCATCTTCTTCAGTTCTGATTGATGGTGGGGAGTGGAAGGATTTATACTCCTTGCGGACAGCTGGTCACTTGCATTCTTTTGGAGAGTCGTTGAGGCCTCTTGTAGGTTTATCTGTGTCCTCAGGGTCACCTGAGTCGTGCAAATGGGTGTGGAGCCTTCTTGACTGCAGGATGTTTTCTACGCTGTGTGCCTTCCCTGTTGAAGACAGGCGCAGGCTGTTGGGGATGAGTCTGTGTTGTCTGCATCCCAAACAAGCGCAAATGGTTCCTGTAGTCTGCGATGTTTTCTGGAAATCCGTTCATACTCCCTCACCATTCGAAAGGTGTTCATCCCAAAGTGCATAGCCAAATGTCTTCGGAGACTCTGAGAACACAGGTAAACCTCCAAGTGGCCTCAATGACTCTCCAAAAGAATGCAAATGACCAGCTGTCTGCAAGGAATATAAATCCTTCCATTCCCCACCATCCAGTCACAGCTGAAGAAGCTTCTTGGATGAGAAGTGAAACATCTTCAAAGAAAAACAAAGCCCAGTTGCCTCCTGAAAAAGCACCTTTGGGATAACCATAATCTGGGTGACTGAGAATCTCCATAGATATTTGGGAGGGGTAGTTGCTGAGATCAACAATGAGCTGCAGCTCTATTTCCTTGTTAATGGCCTTCTTGAGGGTTGGCCCTGCAGGAGCCCAAGCTCTTCTTTCTGATCCATCAGACACTTTCAGAACTTTGTATTGCTTCTAAAAATATTCTCCCATCAAGATCATCCTGTTCAGTCATGACATCACTGGATGTAGCCTCTCTCTCTCTCTCTCTCTCTCTCTCTCTCTCTCTCTCTCTCTCTCTCTCTCTCTCCCACACACACACACACACACACACACAGACAGCAGGAAAAGGGTTAAAGTCATCTGCTTCTTAATAATTTTTCTCTTTTAGATCTATTCTGGGCCTCCTGAAGACAATGCTGCACCCCCTATCCCCCCTCCTCGGGTAGCCACTCGAAGACATAAGCCCATCACCATTTCCAAGCGCCCTCTGAGAGAGAGACCCCTCTTCTTTGGAGGTTCTGTGGAAGAAAGTGAAGGTTGGTTCTTGTAGAACTGTTCCCAGTGTTCTCTTACCACAAATCCTTTCATCAGCAGAGGCTGGATCTTCATTAGGATCAAGTTCTAGTGGTGTTGGGTGAAGGGGTGAGTGCCATTATAACTGTTGATGTGCCAAATGAGGTATGCATTTTTAGAGTAATAGAGAAATTAAACCTGGATGATTGAGTGTTAACATACAACAGTTTTTAAAGGGAAATTGTTACTCCAGTCTACCTGACAAAGTTTTTGGAACTTGACCTCTGTTTCTCATGCAACATGTCCAAAATGTTGCTGCCATAATTTCACCATAAGACCAAAGGACATTGATCCTGCTGGCTTACCCAGACTTTGGGTTTGTGGCAATGATGAGATAGGAAATTGAATGTTTTGTTTTTGTTTGCACTTGGAGCAAAGAGATTCTGGCATCCAGGGTCCAAGATTCAATGCATTGTTAATTTCCAGCACTCAGTGTGAGGACTGTCCTGTTCTTCTGGGATTCTCTAGCACTAGGGTACAGCAGCAGCCAATGACCACTTGAATTGTCACTTTGTAAAAGGAACTTGAGATTTCCAATCTGAGCCTCTTTTCCTGACCAAATCTGTACTCTCTGTTCTTCAACACTCAAGTATTTCAAAGGCCCATTAGAACATTGGTCTCAGAGTGTTTGGGGAGCTGCTTGGAATAATCATGCTTACAGCCAGCACTGAGGTTTGTGCTGCAGTTTTGCTAAAACAGAAGAGCGAAGAGAGCCAGAACATGCAAGCATCTTAGACATTACATGTGCAAGAGTTGGGCATTGTAATACCTGCCCTCTGGGAGGGGTTCTGAGGGTAATTGAAGTCAATGCCCTTTCCTGATCCTGCTGGCTGGTGGCAACCTGACCCGGAAGAACCTGGGGTCAAGGTGATGCAGCCTTTTGGAGGTGTGATGGCTACTGAATTGGGCAAAAATGAATTTGAACTTACTCGTACCTTCTTCCTTCCTGGCAGCAGCTTCTGAAAACCGTGTCCTGCAAATCTTACTAATGATGCAAAGGACATATTGCCATCACCCAAGAGCTAAATGAAAGCACAATCAAGGTCCTGAAGCCCCCAAGCCCTATAAATATATTTCCTGTTTATATCATAGTCATTCATGCTGTTCCTTTATATATACAGTACTAATTATGAGATAGATATATTTGGGGGGGAAATTAAGGAGTCCTTTTTAACACTATAATAGAGAAATCTATTTCCATGGCCATATTTACGTAGACATTTTGGGTGGATTTAGTTTAGGGAATTGAAAGGCAGACATTCTTTCACCACCACCCCAAACCTTCATTGCCCTTGCTCACTTGGCCATCTCCTCCTGGAAATTGACAATTTGTATACAATCTGTAGGCTCAGAGAAGGTTCCTGGTGCCCAGAATTTTATGAGTTGGGTTTTCCCTTTCAGATCACCAGCCGAATAGCTGAGAGTCACTATCCAGGTTCAGTAGAAAATATCAGATGCAATCAAGGGGGGGGGCGGTGGTGAGGGACAGATTACTAAGATACAGTTGCAGAGATATTAAATGAAAAATCAAGAAATTTGCTATCAGTTGGATTTCATAATGTCAGTGAGGAGTGCATGGCTTCCATTGCTGTCTTTGCAGAGGCTTCCCTCCATTTGTGACTTGCCTGGATGCCCTAACAACTGACCGTCTCTTGTTTTTGGCTTTCCTCTAGAAGAGGACAGCTGTGGCCTGACCCCGAATGGCGTGATTGCCACCATCAGCCCTGATGCTCCTAAGCCACTCCAGCGTAGCCGACTGCAGAGGCCGGGAGAACTTGATCCAGGAAGGCCCAGCCCAGAGAACCGTGGAACTGGGGAACCCTGTGCAGAGGTGGATGTAGGAAGGCTGGTGTCCAGGCTCCAAGAAGGAGGAGCAAAACTCTCCAGTAAATCTGCCAACAGCATCGTGCCAACTCCCAATTCTCTGAAGGCCTCCAGCCTACACCCCAAGAAGCCTGCTCCAAGGCCTGCGGCTGGCTGCAAAGAAGGTGAGCCTGCTAGTTTGTTCTTTTCCAAGACACCCTGCATCCCAGCTCCCAGCCTTTAAAAGACCCCGGTGCTCTTTGTTTTGCAATATAGTTCAAACTACATGTGGGGTGAACCGTGTGCTCGGTGGGTTTTTCATCCTCTGAATCAGAATCACAGCTGGGAGATTAACTAAATATTTATTCATTCACTTTTTCAATCATTCATCTATTTTGTTTAGTTTCAGTTCTAGCATATAGCACAGTGTTAGGAAATCACATTGTGGTATTATAGTTTTATTGAAGATAGAAATATAGAGAAGATGATGAACTATAATATAATTCCTCATTTCAAGTCTGAAACTCCCCCAAATAAGGATTGTAGCTATATATGTCCTTGTTCAAAAAAGAGAATCCCTTATTTTTAGGGCTGAGCAGTCCAAGGGCAGTTGAAATATATGAAGCCATAAGAAGACCAAGCCAGTAGTTTCTGTCCATGAAACCAAATAGGGCTACCATCTTTATCAAAGAAGATGAAAAGAAGAACCAGGGGTGACATGATAGCAGTCCTCTGATATTTGAGGGGCTGCTACAAAGAAGAGGGAGTCAAGCTATTCTCCAAAGCACCTGAGGGCAGGACAAGAAGCAACGGATGGAAACTAATTAAGGAGAGAAGCAACCTAGAACTGAGGAGGAATTTCCTGACAATGACAACAATTAACCAGTGGAACAGGTTGCCTCAACACCGGAGTTTTTAAAGAAGATATTGGACAGCCACTTGTCTGAAATGGTATCGGGTTTCCTGTTTGAGCAGGGGGGTTGGACTAGAAGACCTCCAAGAGGATGGGACCCTGTTGCTCTTTTCAGGAGCACGTGATCTCCATCCTTGGTGCAATGTGGGAGATGGTCAGTTCCTGCATGCCAGATGGACAGCGAGGACTTTTTCAAGAGAGCTTTTTCTGCAGATGTTAAATTGTCAGCTTTAACTAAAAGATGGACAGGGAGAGAGTAGGATGAATAGGGGGGAGGTGGGTTATGCAGTTAATCTATCAGCCACCTCCAGTGTGATGCTCACCCACTGAAGGCCCAGGCCAACTGTGCAGAGCCAGGTCTTCAAACCCTTGTGGACGGTCAGGAGGGTGGGCACTGGCCTCATTCTGGGCGGGGGGCAAGATGTTCCAAAGGGCAGGAGTGATAGCAGAGAAGGCCCTTCTCCTGGACCCCACCAGCTGGAATTCCCTGGCTGACGGGGCCCAGAGCAGGTCTCCTCTGCCGGCGTGGGTGGGATGGACCAATCCCATTGGAATGAGATGGTTTCTGAAGTAACCTGGACTCTTGCCATGAAGAGTTTTAAAGGTGATAACCAACCCCTTGAATTGTTTAACACATGCTCTTCATTCCTTGAGGTGTCCAACTGTAGTTTCCTAGCCAGTCTGCCCACCTGTCACATTGCATCACAATGTGCACAGAAAACACTGAAAGAACTATTAGTTCCTTGTTATGTGTGTTTCATAGAATGCTGTGCCACTGTCTCTTTCTTGCCTGCCTTCTAAGCTCAACAAATACTGTAACTGGCTTGGCAGCCATCAGCCCCACCAGTAGACCAAACCAGGAAATCAATTCCACTTTTATTGAAATGGCTCTGGTAACAGAATCTTTTGCAGGTCTGATTGTGTTGTGCCTCCTCCCTGTATGAATTATGAATTATATCCCCTATATAAATTAGGGAAGTGTCTGGCTGAGCACTTCCAAAGGATGTGTCTGTTGTGGACTTGAGCCATGTTTTTCTCCTTATCGCTTTGGTAAAGCATTTGATCTATCTCTGTCAAGATCATCTTCCTTACCCTTTACATCATATCTACAAAAACTCCAGCCACATTAATTAAAGAAACATATTTAAGATGGCATAAAATTTACAAGTTTATGAATTCCACAAGAATTTGGTGTGTTACTGGCGCTCGGGATCTAGTATGAAATCTCAATGAAATGATGGCTGATCTGTGCTATAGGGATGAATGTGCTCCTGGTCTCCACTTACTTTCTTGAAGCACAGACTTTGATTGAGGACCCTGGAAGGAGGGAGGCGTGCAGCTGCAAGGCCCTCGGGCTTCCTCTGAACCTGCCCACCATTTCTCACAATCTTGCTGGAACTACTGGTCAGGTTACACACTCAGGCTGTAAATAGATCCCATTTTTTCATTCTCCAGGAGGGTTTTTTTGGTCACTTTTTATTTTTATTATTTCTTTAAAATATTCTGTGCAAACTGCCATTGAGGGTAAAGCTATAACAAGAAAACTTCCATTGCACAAATACAAACTCATTATTACAAAATAGGACAAAATCACCACAAACTATAAAAAACATTATGTAAAAATATCATAAAAGCAGCAGGAGCAGTGAAGAAGAACAAAGTAGGTATTAAACAGCATCCAACTCAGTGTAACATCATTAAGAACTAGGTTAAGCCAGAATGTGACTTATCTGACAGAAGCCACGATGGAGTCACACACGTATCCATCAGGGGATGTAAACTACGGGATTTGCAGCATGGCCCTTCATGTTTCACCACACCTGCCCAAAGCCATGGTCATCATGCATCAACAAGATCAACTTTCAAGAAAAGCTATAGAGAGCATCTCTGGCAAATGGGTGGCCCTCTCAACTTCATTAGAATGGAATTTCTACCACAGTTAAAAAATCTTCCTGTGTACAATTGTTCAATTATCCTGAAATGCTGAGCTTTAAAAAAATCCAGATAATCTATTTTCAACTGTTGGTCAATTGCATAGTTTGGATTGAGAATATAATATAGCTCCAATGCTGATTTTGTTTGTTTACATTTCTGTATTTTCAATTTTTGTAGTTCTGCCACACAACAGGAGTTATTTCATACCTGGTAGCATTCCCAATCTTTCTGTTGTCGGCCACTGTACAACTGTTGTTATCGCTCGTTCTGCTTTCTGATGGCAAGGAATTCAGGCAGCTGCAGTGAGACATCATTTCAGTCAGTTGGCACATTTCAAATAATATTCAAAGGGTTCTTTTCAAAATAGAATTTTTGATCAGCTGCTCCATGGTAGCTCCCTTACCTTGGGTCATATATAGGATTGGAAAATGGCTCTAAGCCCTTCTGCTTATGCTTTTCCCATTAGAATCAGAATAGAGCTAGAAGGGACCTTGGAGGTCTTCTAGTCCAACCCCCTGCTCAAGCAGGAGACCCTATATCATTTCAGACAGGTGGCTGTCCAATCTTTTCTTTAAAACCTCCAGTGATGAAGCACCCACAACTTCTGAAGGCAAGCTGTTCCACTGCTTAATTGTCCTCATTGTTAGAAAGTTTCTCCTTAGTTCCAGGTTGCTTCTCTCCTTGATTAGTTTCCATCCATTGCTTCTTGTCTTGCCTTCTGGTGCTTTGGAAAATAAGATGACCCCCTCTTCTTTGCGGCAGCCCCTCAAATATTGGAATACTGCTATCATGTCGCCCCTGTTTCTTCTTTTCTCTAGACTGGCCATACTCAAACCCTGCAACTGCAAACTTCATATGTTTTTGTCTCCAGGCCTTTAATCATCGTAGTTGTTCTTCTTTACGCTTTTTCCAAAACATCTTTTTTGTAATGTGGTGACCAAAACTAGATGGAGTATTCCAGGTGTGGCCTTACTAAGGATTTATAAAGCAGTACTAATGCTTCACGATATTTTCATTCTATGCCTATATTAATACAGACAAAAAGTATTAGCTTTTTTGGCTGCTGCTGCACCTTGCTTACTCATGTTTAAGTGATCGTCCACTAGGACTCCAAGGTCCCTCTCATGTTTACTGTTTTTGAACCAGGTTTTGCCTAATCTGTACCTGTACCTTTGGTTTTTCCTGCCCAGGTGTAAAACCTTGCTTTTCTCCACATTAAATTTCATGTTGTTGGATAGGGCCCATTGTTCAAGACTGTCGAAATCTGTTTGGATCCTGGGCTTGTCTTCTGGGATGTTGGCTATTCCTGCCACCTTAGTGTCACCTGCACATTTCATGATTTCCCCTTCTATTCCCCTACCTAAGTAATTTATGAAGATATTCAAAGAGTACTGGGCCTAAGACAGAACCTTGTGGTAACCCACTGCTTATTTCCTTCCATGTAGACATAATACCATTAAGGACGACTCATTGAATACAGTTTGTCAGCCAGTTACAAATTCATCTGGTGGTGATGCTGCCTATCCTACATTTTTCTAGTTTACCAAGAAATAGGTTGTGGTCTACTTTGTCAAATGACTATGTCCACAGCATTTTGCTGATCTACTAATTTAGTCAATCTGCCAAAGAATGAAATAAGATTGGTTTGGCATGATCTGTCTTTAACAAACCCAGGCTGGCTTCTAGTTATAACTTTATTTGTTTCTAGATGTTCACAATCTGTTGTTTTTATTATCTTTTCCGGTATCTTCCCAGGTGTTGATGTTAGGCTGATTGGTGAGCAGTTTCCTGGGTCTTTTCCCCCACTTTTTTTTAAGATGGGAACCACCCTTCAGCTCTTTCCAATCCTTTGCAGTTCTCCGGTGCTCCAGGATTTTTTAAAAAAGTTATGGTACAATAGTTCAGAGATAGTATCTGCTAGTTCCTTCAGAACTCTGGAATGTAATCCATCAACTCCAAGTGATTTATATTCATCCATTTTATTTAAATATTTTATTTTATTATTTATATTCTTTTTGAATTGTTTTTCATTTTAGCATTTTTATCCATGGAATTTTTCTTAGGCTCTCTTTGAGTTTATTAAAATCAGCTCTTTGAAAGTTTAAGAAACTGGTTGGATTACATTCTATTGCTTGTGTTTGCATTATATTGAATTCCAGTATGACGTGGTCACTTTCACCCAAGGTTCTGGCAACTTCAACTCTCTCTATCACTTCCTCTCTATTAATAAGAATTAGGTCCACTTTATCTTTTCCTCTTATTCCCTCCTCTATCTTTTGGATGACCAAAGTTGTCAGCTAAGTTGGCTAGGAATCTGCTCAATCTCCCACTTGCTGCAGAGTTTATCTCCCAGTTGATATCAGGATAGTTAAAATCTCCCATTACTACTGTGGTATGTTTCCTACATACATTTGTTACTGATTAGCAAAGAATTCATCTATTTCTTCTGCTTGGTTGGGTGACCTGTAGTATACGCCTATAGCAATGTCATTCTTTTTTCCTTTTATATTGACCCATATGAATTCTAGGAGGTTTTCATCCTTGATTTTCCCAAAGGTGCTTTTTCAGGAGGCAACTGGACTTTCTTGTTTTTCTTTGAAGACGTTTTGCTTCTCATCCAAGAAGCTTCTTCAGCTCTGATTGGATGGTGGGGAATGGAAGGATTTATACTCCTTGCGGACAGCTGGTCACTTGCATTCTTTTGGAGAGTCGTTGAGGCCTCTTGTAGGTTTATCTGTGTCCTCAGGGTCACCTGAGTCGTGCAAATGGGTGTGGAGCCTTCTTGACTGCAGGATGTTTTCTACGCTGTGTGCCTTCCCTGTTGAAGACAGGCGCAGGCTGTTGGGGATGAGTCTGTGTTGTCTGCATCTCAAACTGAAAGTGCAAATGGTTCCTGTAGTCTGCGATGTTTTCTGGAAATCCGTTCATACTCCCTCACCATTCGAAAGGTGTTCATCCCAAAGTGCATAGCCCAATGCCTATGGAGATTTTCAGTCATTCAGATCATGGTTGTCCTAAAGGTGCTTTTTCAAGAGGCAACTGGACTTTCTTGTTTTTCTTTGAAGATGTTTCACTTCTCATCCAAGAAGCTTCTTCAGCTCTGACTGGATGGTGGGGAATGGAAGGATTTTATGGGTGTGGAGCCTTCTTGAAACTGTTGAAAGGACTGTATTGTGGAGTTGTGCTTTCTGCGGGAAGTTTTCTGCCCTTGCATCTCCCCACACATTTGCACGAGTGAGGTGAACCTGAGGACACAGAAAACTCCCCAAGTGGCCTCAATGACTCTATAAAACAATGCCAATGACCAGCTATCTGCAGGAAATATAAATCCTTCCATTCTCCACCATCCAATCAGAGCTGAAGAAGATTTTTGGATAAGAAGCGAAACGTCTTCAAAGAAAAACAAGAAAGTCCAGTTGCCTCTTGAAAAAGCTTCTTTGGGACAATCATGCCCGGGATGACTGAGAATCTCCATAGACATCCTTGGTTTTGTGTATTAGAGCTGTAGTGATCTTTTATATATAATGCAACTCCATGTCCTCTTTTGTTAGGTCTGTTTCTTTTGAATAGTTTGTATCCTTCCATCAGTACATTCCGGTCATGAGTTTCATCCCACCAAATTTCAGTAATGGCAACTACATCATATCTACCTTCATGTACTAATACTTCAAGTTGACTCTGTTTGTTCCCTAAACTTTGAGCATTAGTGTAAGCATTTGGGTCCTTTATGGCAGAGGTCTCCAACCTTTTGGGCACCAGGGACCGGTTCCGTGGAGAGAGGTTTTTCCATGGACCAGAAGGTGCGTGGTTTTGTGTGGTGCCTGCATCTTGTGGATGGGGCGTTGCTTGTTTGTGCAGCCTGGTTGCTGGCATGCCGCAGCCCAGTACTGGTCCATGGACCGGGGGTTGGGGACCCCTGCTTTATGGGTCTTGGGTATGTTTCTTATATCTCCTACTTTGTAACTGTGATTTCCATCCGTCCCATCACTCTCTACTTCATTATGGGTTTTTTTAAAATTTCTTCTTTCTCTTTACTCCCAATCTCTTTATGTGATTGGTTATCTAGTCATTTTTGCTTGGAATTAGGTTCTAAAGGTTGTAAAGATTGCCCCCCTCCCCCCTCAATTTTAGTTTAAAGCCCTTCTGGATGAGGCTGTCGGCAGGCCCAGAGGATGGGAGAGAGGATTTTGGAGGAGTTTGTGGCAGCAGCAGTGTTCTCCGGGGGTGAAAAGGAGTGAGGCCTCTTTAAGGAAAAGGTGGAAGAGACAAGATCAGAAAAAGGAAAGGAGGCAAGGTTGTCGTGCAGGAATACAAGCTAATTTGAGGGCTAATCCACATGAAGCTCCATTTCCATCTGTCCTGTTTGTTCACTTCCTGGAGACTAAAATGGAAGATATGTAACTTGAGCTGGCCACGAACAAGGAGTGTATATCGGAGGTGGTGACCCTTTGAGAGCTGTATGCAATGAAATTTCTTTTTGATGTATGCCAATTGGTATACTTTCAAAGTGACAATAAAGTTGTTGTTGTTGTTGTTGTTGTTGTTATTATTATTATTATTATTATTATTCTGATAAGATGAGCTAGTCATTTTCTGAATATATTATTTCCAGTTTTTGTGAGATTCATTCCATCCCTTGCCAGTAGCCCTTCATGTAGGTAATGTAGACCATGGTCTAGGAAGCTGGAGTTCTGTTGATGACACCAACCTTTAAGCCAGTGGTTCATTTCTAAAGTGCTATGCTCCCTCATTGGATGTTGGCCTTTTGTTGGAAGTATGGATGAAAACACCACTTGTGCTCCTAATTCTTTAACTTTCTTCCCTAGCTGTTTGTAATCTCTTGTGATTGTTTTCTAATTCATTGTTGTGTCATTGGTCCCCACGTGTAGGAGAAGAATGGGGTAGTAATCCATGGGGCTGATTATTCTAGTAAGGTACTCAGTTACATCTTTCATTTTTGCTCCAGAGAGACAGTATACCTCCCTAGATTTGACTGCCTGACCTGCACACTATTTTTTCTGTTCCCCAAAGAATTGAATCTCCTATCACCAAGATTTGCCTTTTTTTTCCCTTAGGGAGGTCTGGGAGACTTTTCTTCTTGTAGCAGGAATGCTGAGTTTGCCTCTTTTTTAGGGACCTCTTTTGTGGGTGTCTGCATATTTTCTTCCATTTCCTTTCTGCATTTCAATTCATATTTTTTCAACTCAGGTGAACATGAGAGCTTCCCCAAAGCTCGGCTGCCCGGAGAGAAGCCGGTCATCACGCGACCTCCGATGAGACCCCCAGATCCTCCCTGCAAGGCTCCCCTGCCACAGAAGGTGGAGGCCAAGGCAGACTTGGTGGTGGGAACAGCAACAGAAGCCCCCTCCTCAGTGTGAGTAGTGGCAGAACAGACCTAGCAGAGGGTCCAGCCCTCCAGCTGGGTTGGGGGGCATGTCTCCTAGTCCCCTTCCCCAACGAGTGCCATTTGGCTGGGGAATTGGGAGCGCCTCGGGGCTCCCCATCTGGAGGACACCCAGTCAAGCAGGGCAGCACATTTCAAGGAAGAACATCTGCTTCCCACACCAGAAACGCTCCAAAGCAAACCGTACGGTTCTCTGCTGACAAAGACACCACGGAGGCCAAAGGCTTCTGGAGCCCGCTTTGCCCTCCTCAAGGGGGTCAGGCCTATATTGCACATTCTCCACCGTTCTCCCCCACGTTCCTCTGTTTTCACCCAGAAAACAGCATTTGTGAGCTGTGAACTCTCTCCTGAGCTCTGGGGAAATCTCCCTCCATAGGGGTGGCAGGGGCAGGCCCTCTGGGTGGCTCCTTCAGGCAAGAACTAGCGGGCACTCCACTGAAGCAGGTGGAAGCTCCAGGAGAGCTGGGCACATCCCTCTGACCTTATAGGTGTATGTACACACACTCACTTTGAACCTTGGCAGTCCAGGTTCTGTACCAAGGAGAATGGCATTTTTACCAGTTAAATCAGCAGTAAGCCACTTCGCTTGTCTGCTGCCTTTCTCTCTGTCCTCTCCTGCCTGGGGAGCAGATGGGGGGGATTCCAAGAGCTTAAGGTACTTACAGGGAAGCCTTAATTTTATCCTTACAAAAACAAGGTCATCAAAGGGGTTTCTATGACTGTGGATAGACTTGACTCTGGTTCTCTCCAGTTCTCATATTTCTGCCAGCTGAACTGCAACAGTTCTTCCACTATAGTGGAGACTTTGTATATCTTTATCCCTGATTATCTATAATGGCTTCTGAGAAAGGTTCCCAGCGAGTCCACTTTGCCAAGGGAGCTCAGCTCCATTGCTGCTGCCACGGTTGCCGAGCTCTGGTGCGCCTCCTGCTCCTGCTCCTCCACCTCTGCGTGGACTACTTCTTACGGCAGCAAGAGTGGGGGCTGTAATCACGGCCCAAAACCTGGCATGAAAATTCACGGGAGGGGGGGTTGGCATGTGCGCCGGGAGCTGCTGCTGCTACTCAGGAACCGAAATGGGGCATCTGCTTGCAAGCAGGACTTTGGGGAGGGGGGCTGCCACAGGAGGGAGAGAGGGAGGGAGATCCCCTGCAGAGAGGCCCCTTTGGACAATTGGGAGCAGTAGCAGTGCTGCCGCTGCCAGCCCTCTCACCACCTGCCTCGCCTCACGGCTTCACCCACTCTCTACATTGTCCCTGGGCAGGCGGTTTCAGCCACCTGACTCCTTTTGTGGCTCTGCCCACGCAGCCACAGGAGAGTTGGCGGCTGGAGTCACGGCCGCGCTGTCTTTGGAGCACCCCCGCTGCCAGCCCCTGGTATCATTCTTCCATCGCTGTGTGGGCCAGCCCTGGGACGATGCAGAGAGCCTACCACTGGCCTTCAGAGCTGCCGCCATTTAAACTATACAATACAGGCAGCAAACAGGGAACAGGCAGTGCGAGGCGGTGGCCGAGAACCCAAGTGGCAGGTGGTGGAGGAGGAGGAGGCAGCTGCCAGTGGGCAGGTGATCTGCGGAGTGGGGCAGAGTGAAGTGGGGTGGCAGGAACCGAAGAAAGCCCCTCCAGCCGCAGATGCGGCTCTTGCGCAGGCCTTTTGCCAACACTCCCCTGGCTCCAAAATGGCGGAGGGGAACGAGCCTCCCCCGCCCATCCTCCATAGCATGGCAGTCCGGCTCAGGAGGGGAGTGAAAGGGAAGAGGATGGGCAGCCGGGTCATCGAATGGGTGGGGGAAGTCACCGGGTGGGGAGTGGCCTGGCTGTGGGGGGTCTGAGGTGTGCAGATGTGGGGTGTGAGGGGCAGATCCGCCTCCCACCACCCTGCCTTGCTTCCCCTGCGGCCTGCCAGACACCCACCGAAGCCATGCAGGGCAGGGAAAGCACACAGTGGGACACCTCCATCTCCCCAAAATAAGACATTTCCCAAAAATAAGCCCTAGTGGGTCTTTTAGAACAAAAATAAATATAAGACCTGGTCTTATTTTCAGGGAAACACAATAGTTGCCCAATAATTGTGCACACATAGCTATTCTCCTAAGAAAGCCAAAGCCTCACTTTTACTTTCTTAAATAGCCAGGTTTGAGGTTTATTAACATTTGGGATTGACTGAGAGCACTGGAGTTGTTCAATAAGAAAATTAATCCTCCAAAATACAACTTGCCTAATAATTGCGCCCACAATGAAACCTGGACCACATGTGTGTTCTTTCATATATTACCTATCTATCCAAATTCAGTACTGTTAATGGAAATTTGCTTCCTTGATCTTGGACTCTTGTTTGATTGAACAGCTATATTGCTACCACAAAACTAAGGGGCTGTTTGTGCTGGTTGCTTTTCAGAGTGGCGTCCAGGGCAAAGTTCTTCGAGACAGCCTCCTTCAGGAGAGGAAGGTAAGAGCAGGAAAGGGTTGCCTTTACACATATGTTTGGCATCCTGAAAAGCTGGTGAATCATGCCATCTTCTGATTTTGCCCATGAATGTTTGGGACATTTATCCCAAATATATTCCCTCTGCATAGAGAGGTGTTTTTCAGATGCCTGTAGAGTTGAAAAGACTGGCAGATTTTTTGTGAGATTTTTGGGGAAAAGATGGTGAATTGAAAATGGCTCAGCTGAGAGTGCAGCCGATGACTACAGTAGAATGAAGAGCCGGCAAGTAGATTGGCTCGTCATAATTCCTCTCTGGTCAAGGAGAGGACTTCACAACTGCTCCAGACAATTGCTCCTAGCAAGGAGCCTGCAAAATGGGGGTCTCCGGTGGGTTTAGAGCTCTGGGAGTTGAGGTCATCTTGCTCAAATCACAGTCAGCACCTTTGAAAGGACACTGGGTTCACATAGTTCCTTTCCTAATCATTTTTGGAAATTGCTTATTAATTGCTTTCAGCTATTAGGTACCTTGGGAATAAAATTACTATTACAAAAAAAAGGCCTGCCAAATTCTGCCCCATAAAATGTACCACTGGTCCCTGAGGGCCTCATGGGTTGCTTGGCTGGCAGTATCAGAATTTTTCGGGGCTGGCTGGTATAGGAGATGACCAGGCTGAGGAGGGAGGGGGTCAAATGTGTCATCAGTCTCAAGTCCCTCCGCACCTACAAAAGATCTAAGTCCAGCCCAGCTTGACTTCCCTTGATCCTTATCTACTGCCAATTAGCCTTGACTGTTAGATTCTTGTAAAGTCTGTTAGCATGCAACAGACCTGTTTTCATCTGAACTGCTCTGGCTTTTGATTTCCTGTGCTTGGCAGCTGGCCTGTTGAGGGGCCATAACCTCCATTCCCTGTCACCCCAATTCTTGATCTCCCAGGCAAGGAAGCTGATTTTCAACTGAAGTTGGCATCACAGGTTCAGGATCAGCACTATTTTCATCATGAGTTATAAAATAATTATTTTGTTTGATAGTCAAATAGGGTTGCTGAATCTTGCAAGCTTGTAACTTTCATTCTCTCGCAGTGTTCTGGCTTTTGCAAAGATCCTGAAATCTCAGGCATTGTTTTTCAGCATTAAATATATTAGGGTGCTGTATTGCCAGTCCCTGCGGGTGGGTTGAGCTGACAGAGTCTCCATGGCTGAGGGGGAATGAGAACTGGGCCTCCCCACTCCTAGTCCGGCACCTAAGCTACCACACTGCACCAGCCCTCTAGGGAACTCCAGTTCAGCCTGGCCAGTAGTAGAGATGTAGCTGCACTCCTGCTTTCTCCCTCATTGTTCTTCTTACTGCTTCATTTCTTTTGCAGTTCTTCCTGTCCCCAGGGCAGATTCCCAAATGAGGAGGGATGAAAGGCTCCAGGTAATCCTGCCATTTATTTTCTGATTTCTTAAGAACCCAAATGCTGGAGGTGTTCTGAGCAGGTTGCAGAAACCTTCTGTGAGATTTTCCTCTTGGCTGCAGCTCCAGCAAGCCAAGCATTGTGTTTTGACATCCTCCACTTAGTTTCACTGCCTGTGTTTCTTTTCTTCCCAGACTTCTGCATGGCTGAGCCTGGACCACCCCAAATGGATTTGCAACCCATGATGTGTGCTCTATAAATCAGCTGTCTCCAACCTCGTCTGTGAGCATGCCATTGTGAACATCTTGCATTGCTACAAGAGAAGCAAAGACATTCTTGGGGGGACAATAGTTCCACCTGCTGCTGTAAGTGTTCAAAAAGACAGAGCAACAATTGGGCCTTTTGCTCCTTCTCTATCACTCCGAGCTCCTCCTACTCATCTCCAGAAAGTGCTGCTTTCTCCTTTGCTAGCGGTTGACCTGGAACAGCCAAGGGGCACATTGGGTGGTGAGATACATCCATCACGACGGGACTCTTACGGGGTCCTTCTCAAAGAGTTGCTACCTGGGTCTAGGAACTGGGCTGCAAGCAGCTTCTCTGCCTCAGAAGGTTTCTGACTGGGTGGCTTCAAATGTGTCACGTTTTGTTATTTTTTCTTTTCAAAGACTGAGATTTTGTTTCGGTGCAAGGGTGGAGGGTGGGGGTGGGGTTAGCTGTTAACTCATGAAAGGCTGAAAACATTCCCAGTAAGACCTCCACACCTCTTACTGGTTCTGCTTACACAACTGGCAGATGTCCCAGAGAGTGGATGGGTAGGAGGAGGATGTTGGCTCCTGTCTCACATCTTCAAAAGGGGAAGATTTTTGAAGCCAGATACTCCATCCCAGGGGGAATGGTGCTGGAAATTGAAGCAGAGATCAATTGCACACCTCTGTGAGGGTAATTTCCCTAATGTCCAAAGCAGCTTCAAGACATTCCAGATAGTTCTACCTTTTGTTAGACCACATTCCATTCTTCCACCTATTTTCTTCCCAAAGTGCCCTTCCCACTTGCAGGAGAATGTGATGAGACCCTGCATTTAGATCTGTTTTTATTCAACCTGCAGCCAAAGGAAGAAAGAGATGCTGTGGTTGTAGTTGTGTGCCTGCCTGTGCTTGTGCGCAGGTCTCTCTGCCTCAGGCAAGACAGCTTAGGACCTTCCGGCATCTCAGCTGGGATCTCTTTCTCCAAACTCCACTTTGGATCTGTGCAGAATCTTTGGACAGCCCCCTCCCCAGGATTCCCCATTCCACAGACTGGTGGTTGGTTCTTTCCTAGGAACTTGAATAAAGCACTTACGTGGATACTTTTGCATCGGAGGTTTCGGCTCGCCTTGTAAGTGTCTCCGAGGACCAAGGTCAAAATCCTCCAGCTAGCACATTCTAGATATGCTTTGCAGATACAAGAAATAAATGAATTTTTGGGAGTGGCCCTAGATTGCCAGATTTTGGGCCCACTCATTTCTCTTTAGAAATAAGGTTGATACTTGTACCGTCCCCATTGTACCAGCAAACAAATAATTATTTCCACAGAAATCAGCAGGTAATGCCATACTGATATTTAACATGCTTTGAGGGGTAAAGAAAGTATATGTATATGCTTTATTCCTATGTTTTTGTTACCAGTGCCACCCAACGTTCACCTGAACTCCCCAAAGTTGCTGATCAAATAGAGAAGATTGTTCATCCTGTGAAGTCTGAGTTCTTAACCACCAGTATAAGCTGGATAGAATAACTGAAGATTGAATGAGTGATAGAAAATGCCAGCATGTCCCTGGCAGCCTTGTCAGTCCAATTTTGGAGCCACCAATCAAAGCTTTTTGCTCACTGAGTAGTGTGGGGTTGCAATGACCTCCAGGAAGGCCAGGTATCGGGCTAACATCACAGGTTGATCTGTGTTTCCCAGTAATCCATTAATGGATTATGCTGATACCATTGATTTCTGCTGTGGGAAATGACTGGGGGGGGGGCACATTCAAGATGTGATCGATTCCCGAGAGTAAAAGCTGAGACAGGAAAGGAAGTTCTGGAAGTGAACGTTTGCCATTGCAGGAAGGGTGGGGGGGTCCCAAGCTCCCAAATGATTGTGTGGTGGTTGCATCCAAAATTGGTACATCTCGTCTCAAACCTGCTTTTGTCATAAGCTAAAAATGTCCAGCAATTCAGCTATCTCTGTTTTGTAAATTTAAATGCACTTAAAATAATTTCCACCTGATGTACTTTGTCTGGTAAAAGAAATAGATTAGTTGTAATAATGTTTATGAATTTTCCATAGATTAAAAAATCCACCTGATTACTCTTGACTGTAGTTTTTGAATTTGTGTGAACTTTATTTGTAGAATAGTAAAGTCAGCTTGCAAAATATAACATGAATGCATCCAACATTAGACACTTGCTCATTGCAAGAGTTGGGGGTTAGTGTCACACAGCACACGTTAGAAACAGTTGCAGTCCACTTACTTTGGAGTGCTCTTATCCTGGACCTGTATGTCTTTCCTGTTTGGAATTAATATAGACATATCACTCCCTTTTTGAATGGATGAAAAGCCAACTTGAATAGAATAGAATAGAATAGAATAAAATAGAATAGAATAGAAGTAGAAATAGAATAGAATAGTCCTGGTGGCGCAGTGGTTAGAATGCAGTACTGCAGGCTACTTCTGCTGACTGCCGGTTGCCAGCAGTTTGGCAGGTTGATTCTCAGCCTTCCATTCTTCCGAAGTTGGTAAAATGAGGACCCAGATTGTTGGGGAAGCAATAGGCTGACTTTGTGAACTTCTTAGAGAAGGCTGATAAGCACTGTGAAGCGGTATATAAGTCTAAGTACTCTTGGTATAGAATGGAATCATTTATTGGTCAAATGTGATTGGACACACAAAGAATTTGTCTCCTTTGCAGAAGCTCCCAGTGTACATATAAACAGCAAGTACTAGGTCATAGATCATAATAAACCACAATTTATAAATCATAAGAAACCAATAGGAGAAGATAGGAAAGATGAGAGGATCCAGGAAATTACAGACCTATCAGCCTGACCTCAATACCTGGGAAAATTCTGGAAAAGATAATCAAACAACGAATCAGCGAACGCCTACAGGCAAACAAAGTCATTATTAAAAGCCAACATGGGTTTGTCAAAAACAGATCATGCCAGACAAACCTTATTGCATTCTTTGACCAAGTGACAAAATTAGTGGATCAGAGGAATGCTGTGGATATAATTTACTTGGACTTCAGTAAGGCATTTTTTTTATTGAAAATTTTATAAAAGTTTTACAATATACCTCCCCCCCTCCCC